GGGGGCGGGAGGCCCGGCCGGGCTGCAGGCCGCACCTGGTCGGCGAAGTCCTCGGCCGTGCCCATCAGGTCGTTCTGGCCCATGGCGGCGGCGGGAGGCTCGGCTCGCTCAGCTCGCTCGCTCGCTCGGCGCTCGGCCCGTCGGCTCCCGCGCCCGCTGCGGCCTCCACAGGAAGTGCCCGGCGACCGGCCTCGCTCCTCGTCCGCGGCTCCGGCGGCTGCCACGTAGGCCAAGCCTTAAAGGGGCCGCGCCACCCGGCCCGCCCCGGCCGCGCCTTAAAGGGGCCGCGCGCCGCCCGCCGCCGCCCCGCCCGTCGCGCTCGAGGCTCCGCCCGCCGCGCGTCGACCCCGCCCTTCGCCCTCCGGCCCCGCCCTCCGGCCCCGCCGGCCCCGCCCCGCCCCGCCCCGCCCCGCCGCGCGCGCAGGCCCCGCCCCCCGCGCTCGCAGGCCCCGCCCACCCTCCTCAGGCCCCGCCCGTGGCGCGCTCCGCGGCCACCAGGCCCCCGGGCCATCCGCTGGAGGTGCCGGCTGGAGCTCCGGAGCGCACCGTTCGGCGGACACACCTGGGGCAGACGGTCGCCCCCGGGGTGGGGGATGGGGTGCTCGCCCGGACGCCGTCTCTCCTGAGCATGCTCAGTCGAGGGTCCGCGCGCCGGCGAGGGCTGGGGACGCACCCCCAGCGCCCTGCGGAGGGAGGAGAGGCTGGGAGTCTCCCCTGGAGACACTATGGAGAAGTACCAGGTGCCAAGTTCTTCCCTGGCGGGGAGGCAGGGGCGACAAGAGCCCGCCGGTTTGGGGCGAGCCAGGGACCCAGACCTCCGGCAACCTCCCCAACCCCCTACTTACTGGTTTACTGGTCACTGCCCCTGGAGAGGTGGCCGATGGCCAGGTGCCACCCCGGGTCAGGGTATGCCTCCAGCAAGGAGGGTGACCTCGGGTCCCTCCAAAGGTGACCTCCTGGGTGCCCTTTGCCTCCTGGGGTCTCAGTTTCCCCCTCTCTAAAATGATGTATGAAATGAAGGACGGTCCACCCCCATCTGTCTGAATGCTTGGTGCGAGGGAACTCCACCTCGCTCTCCTCTGCCTCTCCTTGGGCCCGCTGGGACAGGGCACCCTAGAGCGTCCAAAATTCAGAATCAGTAGCCCCCAAACTCCAATACAGGCCATCCCTAGTCCCGGGGAGAAGGACTTGGGCCTTTTCCAGGGCCTGTGAAAACGTGTAAGACTTGAAAAATTCACAAAATGAAAGGAAAGCCGCAAAATGAAAATGAATGAACGTTTAATTAACTGCTTCTATACATAACACGTCACCTTCATTAAATGTTAGATTCAGCCTTTGTAAAAATGTCATTAATTTGAAAACAATTTGTAGATTAGGTTTTTCTTGCTTTGTAAGAACTCCCATTCGTGTGGGAGGACAGCCGGGGAGTCAGCCAGTGGTAAAGGAGGTGAGTTTCCGGGGGCCAGAGAATTCGGAAGGCAAAGGCACCTTTTCGGGAAGAAACAACAGCTTCCCCCTGAGACACAGTGTGTTTTACTGTTTTACCTGCTTCTGAAGAGGGCCTGGGCATGCACCTTCTTAAACTGGCGTAAGCTGCTCAGGACATTGGCCCCCCGACTCCCTAAGCTGGGTTCAGGCCACCCACAGGGGCTGGATGACAGAATCCAAGACTTGCTTGGACTCTGAGGGTCCCCAGACTCAGTTCCGTCTCCTGCATTCACTCCTCTGCATTTTGCCAGGCCTCTTCCATCCTCTGACCTGTAATGCCGGTGTCCACCCCACCCCGGTGGCCCTTGGCCTCTCTGCACAGAGCTCTGACACGGCAACCCTCTCTCTGCAGGTTTGGTTCAAAGCGGAAGGTCCGGACTCAGGCCCGAGTTCCAGTCTGATCCAGGCCACCTCACTTATTAGCACTCTAGCCTCAGACATGAGGTCCTCACTCCCTGTGCCTCCGTTTCCTTCGCTGTGAACATGAGAGAGCAACAGTGTTGCTCACAGGCGGCTGTAGGGTGCTTGGCACCAGGGCCAGGCCACCCACGGCTGTGACTACGCACCAGTGACGGGCCAGTTAGTTTTCTGGTTTGGATGCTGAGTTCGGAGGGGTGCGGGAAGCAGGGCTAAGAGGTGTCTGGAGACGGTGACTAAAGCTGTGCCCCACGTGGGCTGATGCCGGCTCCTAGGTGCCACTGCAAGTTGGAGAAGCGGTAGCGGGTGGTGGAAAGAGCTCCAGCATGGGCCCCAGAGAGATGGGCCCGGGTTCCTCGGGCTCCTGGACGTTTCCTTCTCTGCACAGTGTGGTGGAGACGCTTGCTCGGCCAGCCTACAGGAGAAGCCACAGGGCTGAGCACACTCCCAGAAGGGAAAAGCCGTGTGCATTTCCTGAATGCCTCTCTTCCTCTTGCTGATAGATTTTGGGCCAGATGAGTCCTGGGGCCTTGGGGGTGAACCTGGTGGTGGAGGAAAGAGAAAACAAAGTCAAGCGCGTGATAAAGCAGGTAAGAGGTGGCTCCTGGGCTTGGGTTCCCCAGACATCCACTCATCATCCCCATGTTGGAGAGGGGCCTCCCAATGTGACAGCTGGTTCCTCTCTGCCAGCGGTCACAGAGGCAGATGCCAGCGAGAGTAGCCTCGGGGGCAGCCTGAGGTTCCTTGGGCTTCCCGGCGCACCTGACGCTCTCACCTGGAGAGCGTCTGCAACCCCCCACCACCGTTTCTTCAGCAGGTGTTTCCTGCCAGCCTCATCCCATTCAGCCTCCCGCCAACCCTGCGAAGCAGGAACTGGGGGCCCCTCTACAGCCGAGGATAGGGAGGCTCGGGGAGGCTGCAGACTGGCCAACGTCACACAGCTCCCAAGAGCATTTGAATTCGAGCTACCTTTTTACCAAGGGGAGCCGGGCCGGGGTGGAGGAGGAGGGGGCAGGGGCTGGCCCGAGGTCACACAAAGTTAAGGGCAAGACCTCGATGGGCCTTTCCACCACGTCCTCACCAGGGCTGGCATGGCAGGGTGGGGTACGGAGCTGCAGGGGGCGAGCGCTTTGTGTGTCCAAGTCAAGGTGGTTCAGCTGAACAGAAGTTGTAGGAGAAGAGAGCTGCGCCATGAGTGTCCCTGGCACCCTCATGGCACACGGTGGTGGCGGGGATACTGTGGCACCGGGGTTGGCCGTGCACATGGAGGAGTGTCGCAGGCGTCAGCCGCTAGGGCTACCACTTGTTCAGCAGGCCTCCTGCCTGTGGAGCCGCTCAGCAGCCTTTGGCCGAGGAGGCTGGGCCTGGAGTCCTTGCCTTCCTCCCGCCCCGCTGCGGGCTGGCCCCACTGTCTCATGGGCCGGTGAGGCCGGAGCCCACTGCCTTCTGGGCAGTCGAGGAGCTTTTTCAAAAGCCAGCCAGTCTTTCTTTTTTCCAAAAATGAGGGTGGGGTGCAGGTAGGGCTTTGTGTCTCCTTCTGGTCTTTTCCCTAAGCACGTATAAACTTTGTTTTGACAAGAATGCTGCAGAGATGGTTAACGTACCTTTTCCCACTTAGTGTCTTACAAACCCCGTCTCATGCCACAGACACGCTTCCTCCTCTTTCGGCTCTGGCAGCCACGTGACCCCACTGCTCCGGGTGCTGGAACTGACCCAGTCATTCCCTCGTGTACCGTAGGCACTTGGCCTATTCTTGATTTTTCACTCTGTGTAAACAACTCTGATAAGCATCTTTTTTGAGGATCCATGGTATCCTTGGGATAAATTCCTAGGAGTGAGGCTTCTAGGTCAACAGATGGGACGTTTGGGAAGCTTTCAGTGCGTTTTGGCCAAAGTCACCTATACGCATGAGTTTTGGCACAGGAGGAACGGAAGACGGACAGAGTCACTCTGCTGCTCCGTCTGGGGTCTGTAAGGATCTGGGAATAAGCCACTGTCTGCATTTTCATCTACGATCACCCCCAATTACAAGGGTTCATCATTTGGAAGCCTTATGAGGAGGCGCTCTGGGTGAGGGTCTGGTGTTGGACGCGGCGATGATATGCACCTGCCGTCCGCCACCAAGTGTGTTGGAGACTTGGAGCTGGCCGCTGCCCTTCCCGCTGGCCCCTCCCTCTCCATGCGTCCCCCACGGCCCCACATTCAGTGACAGCGACAGTCTTCCCAGGTCAGGTAAGGAATGAAGTGGTGAGGTCGATACTTTGCCAACCAGAGCAGAGCTGTTCGGCTCTAGGGGCAACACATTATTTTCTCCCCTGCTTTCAAGATGGTGAGAATGGATCCTCTAATAACTGGTCAGAGTTTGTATTACGCTATCCTAAACTTATCCTTGCCATGGGAGCAAAGATGTTCTCATCGCTGAGTATTTTTGGATCCCTGACTTAGGAACATATCCAGGCCTCATCTAGTGCCATGTGGTAGAAGCCTGGCACCCCTGTGAATAATGATGGTAGTGAAGGTGGTGCTGGTGGTGCTGGTGGTGTTGATGGTGGTGCTGGTGGTGGTGATGGTGGCGGTGATGGTGGTGGTGGTGATGGGCTGACTACACATTTACTGAGTTAGTGCTCTTGTACCCCTACAGGTGGAATGTATCGATGAGCATCAGGCCAACGAGGCCCTGGAGGAGGTAATTCTCAGGGGGGCACCCTTTCGAGATGACATGATGCAGAGCACACAGAGACTGTTCTGTCCTCTCCTATGGAATGACTGGATAGAAGCCTCGGTGGAGGCATGGAGGGAGGGTCAGAACCAGATCTTGCCCCATGCTGTGAAGCCAGAAACCCCAGGTCATGAGGGGAGTCTGTGCCCAAATCATTCATTTCTAAATCAGGCACAGACAACTTAGAATATATGTTCTCCGAGAAGATAAGGTTTCAGTGTTCCCTAGGGCCCAGGGCTAGTCTATCAAGAACCATCTTTTAAAATATTGTTCCTTCAATTATAAAAATATTGGTTATAGTAGAAAATGTGGGAACTACAGAACTATCATCTAACAAAGAAAATGCACATTCTTTTCCGTTCCTTCAGTCAGCCAGCCACCACCACCAAGAACGCCCTCACTTATAATAACAGCAGGGACAGCATGTGCACTCGGGTTTGCTGGACAAAGGCTCTGAGCAGTCTCTTTGTTTCTCTTGAATCTCCCATGACCCAAACGTGTCCCTCCTAGTTAATGGTTACTTGTTTGCCTTCTTTCTGGAATCCCCGGCTCCAGAGCTTTGCCAGCAAATAGCTGTCCGGTCCACAGTGTGACCGCTGCACAGTCAAGGGGCCGGGCATATGCTGGTAAAGCGGAGGCTGTGGGAGACCCTCCCACGGCCCTCACCGCATCAAAGCTGTGCACATCCCTGTTCCCTTCCCCAGCCCACGAGGTGACCTGCTCCCGCACCCAGCCTGCCACCACCAGCAGCTGTCTGCCTGGCTCCTGGTGGCCGCGGCCACCACTGCTGCAGCCCGACTGTGTGGGCCCTTCAAGCACCTTCAGCCGGGAGCAGGGCCCTGGGGCTTCGAGTGTGCGCCACCCAGGAGGCGAGCTGGGCGCACGTGTGACCGTGTCCCACTTCCCTTTGGCCACCACCTGCTCCAGCTGCCCCTGACGGGGCTTTCTTTCCTCTGCAACAGACACTTTGCCTGCACCAGCTCCCCCTTAGCCCCCCTGATGCCCCTGTGAGGCAGATACCACCATCACTGCTGTTTTCAGATGAGGCTTGAGGCTCAGAGACGTTGAGGAGCCTCTCCTCGGTCACACAGCACAGCCAGCAGCACATGCTGGAAGACAGGCCCCCAGCAGGCTGTCTGGCTCCGAATCACCAGGCCACAGCCCCTCCCAGCCGCCCGCTCCCCAGCCCTACTCAGAGCTGGAGGCTGTGTCTGTGTGGGGGTCCGTGACACAGAAACACGAGCTGAGAAGCAGGATTTCTCGAACATCTCCACTTGCTCCGCCCTTGTCCCCGCAGTTGATGCCCCTGCTGAAGCTTCAGCACGCCCACATCTCCAGCTACCGGGAGCTCTTCCTCACGTGGAACAGTGAGGTGGGTGCGAGGGACACCTTACGGCTCAGTGGCCATTCATTTGCTCCAGGAACAAGTGGACTGAGCTCAGAGCACCCCAACACCATTATAACCCCCAGAGCCACAATGGCAGGGACTCTAAATGTGGCCACCCTGACTCAGCACTTACTGGGGGGCCCTGCAGGGGGCCAGTAACAGCTGAGGGGGAAGAAAACGTGAAACAAACAAAACCACAGCCAAGCGGGGTTCAGATCAGGGCCCTGTAAGCCCCCGAGGTTCAGATCAGGGCCCTGTAAGCCCCCGAGCCCCGCACTTTAGCCCAGAGGTTATAGGACTTCTTTACTTTACAGCGATCCAGAATCTTGCGAATTATTCCAGATGAGACGGAGGGGGAAGGGGAGGGCGAGCAGGGGTGGGGCAGAGGGCCCGGAGGTGGAAGGAGGCCTCAAGGCTTCCTGGCTAGGGTCAGACCATAACTGGACGTCCCCATTAGGGTCCTCGTCTGGGGTGGACAACCACAGGTTTGAGCAGGAGTGGAGGGTCCCCTCATACACGTGCCCCCTGTCCAGCTGGGGCCTGAGAACAGCCTTAGGGAGGGGCCATGACTGTGTGCACCCTGAATATTTTCTGAGCACCCCGTAACACTCTTGAGGAAACACAGAAAAGCTAAGGGGACACTTGACTGTGGAAGGAAAGCAGGGGCCTCTGGGAGCGCTGAGCTGAGGCCCCTGACCCGGTCCACTGGAGCCCCCCTCCAGGCAGGCTCCTCTGCAGGAGGAAGTGGACCGAAGCTAAGCCCCGAAGAATAGAGAGTCACCCTGGGAAGAGGTGGTTCCAGGCACAGGCGTCTGTGAGTGCCTCGGCCAGAAGGCCTGGGCCGCTTTCAGAAAAGTCAGAGGAGCTTCGTGCGGTTGGAGCTGGCGGGGTGGGGGTGGGGGGTCAGTGAGGCTGGAGATGTGAGCAGGAGCCGCCCGTGAGTGTGAGTCCTCCACCGCTGACCATGCTCCCGCAGCCGCCGTGCATGGTGGCCCCAGAAGAGGCAGGCCCAGGGGCAAGGAACCTCGCCGAGACGCCCAGGCCTGGGCTTTGGGGATCAGGACCGTGGCATTTGGCTAAGACCTCATGTCCCCATCAGATCTCCTCTCTGTTCCTCTGCCTGGTGATGGAGTATAACGAGGGAAGCTTCCAGAAGATCATTGAGAAGAAGAGGGAGACAAAGACAATCATTGACTCTGAAGTAAGACAGACTCTATGGGATGCCAGGCCTGGGGCCAGCCTTGATGTCACAGGCTCAGTCATGGGACAGAGGGGCAGAGGGGAGGGCAGATGCTACTGGCCAGGTTGCTACGTTTACGTGGAGGCTTGCATGGTGTAATGTTCACGAGTGTTCAGTGCGCAGCTCAGGTCACTGTACACAGGCAGACCCGGCCCCCGATCGAGACGCAGAACCTTCTGGAGTTCTAGAAGTCCCTGGCCCTGCCAGCGGTTGGACTTCTGTCTCCAGAGACCCTTCGGCCCACCCCAAAGTCCCCAATAACGGACTCACGCTCTTAATGGCACGTCGCCGCTGTGTCTGGTTTTTTAGGTGAGCGGATCAGGAAACCGTCCGCAGCACGGCTGGGCACTGCCCCGTCATGCGGTGACCGCAGTCTGTGCACAGCCTAGCGCTGTGCGCCTGCAGGCGTTTCCAGCTGGGGCTGCTGCCATGAACACTGAAGGGCGCGTTTACTCGTGCACCTAATCACTCATCTTCTCTGGATGAAGCCCTGGGTGTGTAGTTGTTGGATTGTAGAGCAGTTCCAGTCTATGTGCCAACGTCCAGGATGGCTTGGTTGACTTGGGGTTATTCCCAGCACAAGGGGTAAGCCTTGTGCTTACCCCTTGTGCCTACTTCCTGGCCAGCACTTCAGTCTTTTTCATTTTAATTGAAAATTGCATTTTAATTTGAGTTATTATGATTAACCACAGGGAGTGCTTTTTAGCTACTTGGATTTTGTGCCTGTTCAAGTCTTCTGTCCATTTAAACACTGAGGTTGTCTGTCTTTTCTTATTGATCTGTAGGTGTTCTTTACATATTGCAGATATGGGCATCCAGAGTGTCTGTCTTCTGATGAACGGAAATTCTTTTTTTTTTTTTTTTTTAAGATTTTATTTATTAGAGAGAGCGTGTGTACAAGTGGGGGGGGCGGACAGGGAGAAGGACACGCAGACTCCCCACTGAGCAGAGAGCCAGATGCGGGACTCGATCGCAGGACCCTGGAATCCTGACCCTAGCCAGGGTCAGACACTTAACTGAGCCACCTGGGTGCCGCCAGAAGTTCTTAACTGTGATGAAGTGAGTTTATCAATGCTCCTTTTATCGTTAGCACCTTTGAGCCTGTGTGAGAGCCTGTCCTCCAAGGTCATGAAGATATTTCCTCTTGTCTTTCGAGCTAGTCATTTTTGGTTTCACATTAAGCCTATGATCCACCCTGAGTCAATTGTGTCTGCTTTTGCTCCGAGCACCCTTCTGCTCGGCAGGCCGCCAGGCACCATCTCGCGCCTGAGGGCTTCTTGAGGGCCACGCCACTCCTCTCCCAATGTGGACCTCAGGGGTAGGCTCTGGAGTGGGTTTCAACGTTTCCGTTGGTGGTGGAACCCTTTCAAGCACAGGATGTTCTCAGAAACCCAGCGAGGAAGGTGAAGCTTCTCTGAACAAGGGGCACGGGAGGACGGGTGGCAGGTGGAGTGGGAAGAAGCCTGGGGTTCCATTCACTCAACCCGTCTCTGACACCCTTGGGTAGAATCTAGGGTTCCTCGGAACCTGGTTTGAAAATCACTGCCCTGGAGACTAGCTGGATCTTGCCTCCGACACACGGTGTTTCCAGAGCGTCCTTTGTCAGAGCTCTTTTCCTTCTAATGACATGGCAAGGCAAGCCCCAATGTAGGCAATAAAGGCTTTGCTATCTCCGATACCCACAAGGGGTGGGGCCCGGGTGGGGGTATCTCCGGTGTGGCTACAGGAGTGTGGGGTCTGGAAGCAAGGGCATGCCCCGTTGGGAGAGCCCCGCGCACGTTAGCCTGAAAGGGACCCGAGGCAGAACTCTTTTGCTCTGGCTCTGAGCGCTTCAGCAGTTTGGGGCCCGTCTGAAGAAGCAAGAACGCTCCATGATCCCGCCGGCCGCTCCTTGGGGTGGCTGACCTGCCCGGTCAGCTGCTGCTGGGAGTCCCCCTCCCCCAACCCTGGCGTCTCTCGCTCTTTCCCCAGTGGATGCAGAACATGCTGGGCCAGGTTCTGGACGCTCTGGAGTATCTGCACCAGCTGGACATCATCCACAGGTGACCGTGGGGGCGGGCAGCTGCAGGACAAAGGGCACAGAGTCCCCTCAGGTGCCCTGCCCCAGGACCTGGGAGTGAGGCGGGGCGCGGCGCAGCCCCGGAGAAGCGCGGGCACCTTTCCAGAGCCCCTCCCGGGCTTCCGGGGAATGCTACCCCCTCCACGTCACCCGCACTGATTCACCCAGCATCGGGAGTGGACGTGACCGGGCAGGTCCGTTCTAAAGTGCAGGGTGAGCAGCCAGATAACAGCGCCGGGAAGCCGGAGATTAGGCTGCGCGGTCCCGGGGCTGAGCCTTAGACCCGCCCGCGGCAGGACTCCAGCGTCCACGGTCTGTAGGGGCTGGCGATGGCCGCAGACTGGCTCAGTACCTGATCTAAAGGAGAGAAAAACCCATGTGGACCCCGTGTACAAAGAAAATGCCCACGGTTTCGTGTTCACGGCGCCAAACGTTACGAAATGGTTGAAAACCAGTCCCCAAAACAAACACATAGCTGAGATCTGGAAGGAGGGGAACAGATGTGAGCAGAGAAAACGGCAGAAGGACTGGAGTTTTCCTACTTGGAGCTGCTTGTTTTGGAGTTTAAAACAACGGAGTATATTTTATGTCTGCAGGAAACACTGTTTTAAAAGTGGGCCGCAAAGGGGGCATTTGGGGAGAGGAGGGCAGAGCTGGGTGGGGCGGGGAGCAGGGCCTGCGGTCCAGGGTGCGCTGGCCCCCAGGAGGGGCGCGTGGCCCGCAGGCAGTGGGTGGGAAGGCAGGCAGGCCCCCAGAGGACAGTCCGCGCTCTTGGTTTCAGGAACCTGAAGCCCTCCAACATGGCCCTCGTCAGCAGTCACCACTGCAAGTTACAGGACCTGAGCTCACACGCACTGATGACAGACAAACCCAAGTGGAACATCCGTGCAGAGGAAGGTGGCCAGGGTCCTCCCAGGCTGCGGGACAGCAGCGGCTGGGGGGTGTGGGGGAGAGGCCATGCACTGGGGTGGGGTCGCTCCCAGAGTCCAGAGGGCAGCGGCTGGAGCTGGAACAAGGCAACATCAAACCTCTCCTTTCTTTCTTTCTTTTTTTTTAAGATTTTATGTATTTATTTGACAGAGAGAGATCACAAGTGGGCAGAGAGGCAGGCAGAGAGGGAGAGAGGGGGAAGCAGGCTCCCCACTGAGCAGAGAGCCTGATGCGGGGCTCGATCCCAGGACCCTGAGATCATGACCTGAGCCAAAGGCAGAGGCTTTAACCCACTGAGCCACCCAGGTGCCCCAAACCTCTCCTTTCTCAGAAGGTCCCCACAGACCCCCGCGGACTTATGTGGGCTCCAAAGAGACCCCTTTGCCTGGGTTGTAACCACCAAGCCCAGGGCAGGGGGTGGTGCATGGAATCAGGGTCCAAAAGACACTCGGAAAACGTTAACCTTCAAGGAAGGAGATGGGGGGCTAGTGGATGCCACACACCGAGGAGAGCCGGATTACTTTTCTGAGTCCTATGAATCACTGAGGTGATGGCAGACACGGGGAGGAAGGGGAGATGGGTTCTCCCTCCCTTGAAAACACAGCGGGGCCAAGGGAGCTGGGCTTCAAGCCTATACCCACTGTCCTGGGTGGAGAGAGTAGCCATAGTTGAGAACTTCAGAGTCCTGCATGCACAGAGGATAAATGCGTGGATGGACGGACAGGTGGGTGGACGGACAGATGGGTGGATGGGTGAGTGGGTAGATCTGCCGGAGGTGTGGGTGGCAGGGGTCCTTGGAGTCGGGGGTCCCCCGCTGTACCGTCTCGGGGGGGATTGAAGGTCCGGAGAGCGAGGGCTGCCCAAGGTCTATCAGGAAGCGGCAGACCAGCGACCCTCTCTTTTGGCTGCTTGTCTGGGGTTCAGGTTTAGCAGCGAGCGGGGGGCGACCAGAATTCTGCCTCCAGGCTCTGACCCTTAGAGGAGCACGGTGTTGAAAGAGGGAGGAAGCTTCAGCCTTCTTGGCACATGCCTCTTTCGAACCACGTGTGCAGCCTTATTGGGCACGAAGACGGGAGTGTGCACACCTGGGCCGGCCTGGCTAGGCACGTGCCCAGGTGGGCAGCCTCACGGGCTGAAGACCAGGGCCCTCTTCCTTTTCCCCCACGGACGGTCCCTCCCCACCGCCCCTTCCCTTCTGAGCCGCTTGCTCCCCCAGGGAGCACAGACCTCCTGCATCTGATACCTTCTCCTGTCGACAGACCCTTTCCAGAAGTCCTGGATGGCCCCTGAAGCCCTCAACTTCTCCTTCAGCCCCAAGTCGGACGTCTGGTCCCTGGGCTGCGTCATCCTGGACATGGTCAGCTGCTCCTTCATAAACGTGAGCTGCCTTCCGGCTGCCCCCTCGGCCGCGCCCGGGCCCCGCACCCACATCCCCGGAGAGCCGGCCCCGCCCACCTTGGCTCGAAAGGGACACCTTCCCCCGACCTGCAGCCTCCTGCCTTGCTCCGCACCTGCAAGGGGGGGTGGGCTGCATGGGGCACCCCCGCCCTTGGCCTTCGGGGCCCTGGCATGTTGGGGACGATGACGGAGATACACCACCCCATGGCTAACCCGCACGGGGGGGGGGGGCTGCCTGCCTCCTTATGGAGGAGAAAAGCGAGGTCACGTGCCCCTGCTGGCCCACGGTGGGGTACAGGCCAAGGAAACAACCCTGGCGGGCCTGAACGCACCTCGGGACCTCAGGCGGCCGTGCAGGCTCTTGTCCTGTCTTCACACCTCTGGCCCTCTTGCCAGCTCGCCCCAGGACGCCATCTGGGTCGGGCCCACGAGCAGTACTGTCCCCTCAGAGAACAGACGCCATGCATCTGCGAAAGTCTCTCCGGAGTGACCCGGCCAGGCTGTGGGGCGTCCTGCAGACCCTGGAGGAGAAGAAGATCCCCAATGTGGGAAGCTTCCGTTCTCTTCTGCCTTTAATGCTGCAGATCGAGCCCTCAGAGCGAGTGACAATCAGGTGACCCCGGGGGCTGCGCTTGTATTTACTCTTGCCACGCGTCTCCCGCCATCTGTCCACTGTCCCGCATGTGTTGCCACTCGGTGAAACGCGCTGACCCCTCCGTGGCCCACTGGGCTTTCCCAAGCGTGGTCTGTCTCAAAGGGCAGTAGCGGCACGCACGCCTCTGAGCCCCGGAGCCCACAGAGCCGGCCTCTCCCTTGGGCGGAGGCAGGGCCCCGGGGACCTGGAACGTGTTCTAATTGTAGTTGATCTCCCCATGAGAAGGAAGAAAGGAACATAGGACAGCGAATCTGGCCTGGGTTCTTTATACCAACGCGGTTGTCAAATCTGATCGTTTGATATATTTTATGGAGGAACGGTCCCCCTCACCGTGCTCCCGCACCAGCTGGGTGTGCCGGCACCGGCAGGAGAGGGGCTGCAAACGGGAGGGTGGAGGTCAGGTGTCTGCCTGCCTGGCCGCGGAGTGCGCAGGAGAGCCCAGCGGCCATCTCCCTCCTCTCCAGGGATGTGATCATCACCTTCGTGAGCAACAACTTCCAGTCCTCCAGTGTCACTCTGGCCCTGCACCAGCAGGTGGCCCCTCCCTTCATCACTGACCTGCTGCTGGAAAGTAACATCGCCAGCATTTTAGGTGATGCTGGGGACTCAGAGGGGGAGGGAGCTGTCGTCTCAGCTCTGGGACGGGGAGGGTGGTCAGTGCCTCCCCCTCCTCCGCTGCCACACAGTCCCCTGGACTGCTGGACTGCTCTGACCCTTGGCCAGGGGCCTAGAAGACTTCGGGGTTCTCCCCTCCATCCCACCCCAGCCTCTGCATTGCTCAGGGCACCACCTGCTCAGACGCCCTCCCTTGCTCTTGTCCCCTGTCCGAGTTCACCTTAATGCCGGACCGGTTTCCCTTCCCTCCTGCTGAGCAGCCCCCGCTGTCACAACCCCCGGAGCCCCCCAACTGCTTCCACACCATGGCACTCGGTGAGCCCCGTGCCCAGAGCGGCTGCCTCACTGGGCAGCCTTTCCTGTGTGCTTTCTATGTGCCCGGAACGGTGCTGGCCATGGGCAGGGGCATGGCCGTGGCCCTGGACCGGCAGGTGTGTCCCTGTAGGGGCTCTGTCTGCTGAGGTACACGGGCAGGCCTCATTAGAGGGTGCTGCTGGGGAGCTGGCCCAGAGCTCGCTCACCACTCAGCACCTCGTTTCCGCCGTGCGCCCCTGGTGGGGGGCGCCTTGTGGCTCCCAGCACAGGGACGGCACAATCGCCACCCCAAGGTCTTGGGTGAACCGTGGGCCTAGAGGCCACCTTCAGGTTCCAGGTCAGCTGCACTCGCCTGTCCCTGTGTTCTGGGTGGTCTGCTCACTCCTCCTCTCCCTCCGCAGCCCCTGCACCTGCCGCCTCTGCCCCCACTTCTGGGGGGGAGACACGCATGAGGCCCTAACTTCTGTCTCCCTGCATCTCACGGCCGGGTCGGGGGGCTTTGTGGGCAGGCAGCTGGGTCCCACGGAAGCCCATCCCCCACCGGCTCAGTGGCCTGGAGCGAGTCGCCCTCTCCAAGCAGCATGGGGCCTATTGGTGGGCGCTCCAAGGGGGTTCTGAGTCAGCCATGGGATGAGGAAGGGGTCCCCAGTGTGCGTGGCTGGACACCGCGGCTCACTGTGGGCACTGGGGTCGTTCCTTATGAACCAAAGGCAAAGAGCTCTGCAGGGAGGCCCTTCCCCGAGGCCAGGGCTGACTCTGATCAGCGGCTCGGCCTGCAAAGGGGGGTGAGAAGGGCGCCAGCTCATGGCCGAGTGCGTGGACCTGTGAGCAGCGCCGGCCTCCACACCGGGCCCTGTGCGCCCGGCCCTCAGGAGGCTCCTCCCCACGCCGTCCTCTCCCCCACAGAGGTCATGCAGAGCTACTCCAGCAGACCTGAAGTCCAGCTCCAAGCCATGAAGAGGCTCGTAAGAATGCCTGCAGATCAGCTAGGTAGACCTCTGGGAGGGGGCCTGGGCTCCCCTAACACCTCCGAGGCCTGCTTGTGTTCCCCCTGCTTGGAATCCTTCCCGTGTCTCCCCTTCTGCCCAGCAGAAGGGGGGGATGGGGTGGCAGTTGGTGTGGAGTGACCAGCCCTCACGGGTTTTTAGTGGGGGTCCCTTTCCTTCCACGGTCCCCACGGGGGCTGGCTGGGTGGTTGCTGATTGTCCAGCACGGGACTGAACAGCCCGGCGCGGGGCCCGTGTGCCGCGCAAGCGTGGCTGTGGGATAAACTCCTGGGTGCTCGGGGGATGGATCCGTCACACCTTCCCAGGTGCCGCCAGTCACCCCCCACCCGGGACAGCACCATCCCTCAAGGAGTATTTGTACCTTTTAAGTTTTGCCCAAACAGTGTTTCATAAAATCCCGCCATTCAGCTTGCCTCGCCGGCCGGAGTGCCACACTCGCTCGCTCACCCATCCGTCCATCAGGCCTCCATCTGTCCGTCTGTCCCCCCACCCATCAACCGTCTGTCCACCTGTTCTTCCGCACAAAGTCTGTTCCGGGGGCTGTGGCCCCGGAGATGGCAGAGACCTGGTTCCGGCCCTTAAGGCAATGGCGGAGACTTCATACTGGCCCCTCACCTTTCCCTCTTCCTTGTCCTGCCCCCAGACCCCTTCTGGAGCTGGGCTGTGGCCAGTGGAGTCCACGGGAGGGGAGACTGTGCCTTCCGGGAGGAGCTGAGGGAGGTGGCCTCGCTGGGAGCCTGATACGCAGGCCGGGGATCCTTCTCTAATGGGGTAGAGAAGGGGCACCATGGGCACCGGACCCTCCGCTGCGTGCCACCACCTCTCACTCCGCGCACGCCCCACAGCCAAAGTCCGTGAGACCCACAGATGCCCACTCTTGGGTAGTTATGGCCGCAGACTCGAGTCAGGCTGGGTCCAAAGCAAGTGGTTCCGTCTCTCTGACCGTGTTTCCTCCTCTGCGAGAGCGCGACGGGAGGACTCTGCCTCGGGGGGCCGCTGGTGTAGGCTCGGGGGTCCTCCGGGGCAGGGGCCGCCCAGGGCAGACACATCCGCGCTCATTAATCATGTTCCTCACTCGCCTACTCACCTGTCCAGGGGCCCGTGCTTGAGTCCCAGCAGCGTCGGGCTCTATGGTCTGGTCCGGACGCCCTTCCTGCCCCCTGCTCCTGGGTCGGGGCTCAACCTTGCTGCCCGGCCCTGCCAGGTCTGCCGTGGCCGATGGAGCTGGTAGAGATGCTGGTCGCCATCATGAAGCAACACGAGCGGATCCTCGACGTACAGCTGTGCGCCTGCTCGCTGCTGCTGCGCACCTGGGGTCAAGGTGCGTGCTGAGCCACGTGGGGTAAATGCTGGCCCTGGCCCCTTGTCCCAGACCCGGCGGAGCCTTGGAAACCAGCACTGGCTGCGGGGGGGCCGCTTACTCACTGGCCCTGTGGGCTGGGCAGGTGCCGCCCCTTCCACCCTTCACCCCACCCTGCAGCCAGCGCTCGCGGGAACCTGCTCTGGAACGAGGCTGACCTTGGCTTTCTTCGCGCCAAGTGGGGGCACTACCCACCTCCAACCAGGGAGGGAGCGTCCCCGCAGGCTACCGGCCCACAATCCCCAGGTACAGGAGGTCACCCTGAGCTCTTCCCTCGGCCCAAGCAGCGCTGGGGCAGGACCGGGCCGCCGAGGTGCGGAGGGACAGCTCCGTCATCCCCGCACTGCTGAGCAGCATGTGGGCCCACCCTGAGTCGCAGCCGCTCCTGGTCATGGTCTACAGCCTGCTCACCATCATCTCCAGCCAGGGTGCGTCTGCCCCGCCCTCCCCGCTCGGCCGGGGGCCCGGGGGGGAACCTGCCTCCCTGAGATGGCACGGCCGCCCGCCTTCACTGGGTCCGTTCCACGCACTTGTCCTTTTGTCTCTTGACGGGAAGCTTCCGTTCGACTGTCACTTGTTCCCTCCACAAACGTGCAGACGTGGGCCAGGTGCCACCGTGGGCTTCACACATCTCCTGCCTCATTCATCTCCACCTGGCGGGCACCTGGGGTCGGGCAGCCGCCGGTCAAGCAGGCGGTGGCGGCAGGACTGCGGGTGCTGCGGAGGACCTGGGGCCGCACACACCTTGCATTGCTCCCGCCTGCCCCTCGGGTCAGCATGCTTCCTCCTGGCGGACAGCTGGGCCCACGAGCCCCGGGACGCTCGCCTGGACCCCTGTGGCCGGAGGCGGGTGCCTGTACTCTGCTCCTCGCCCTGCCTGACTGGATCCCACTTTTGGGAGTGAGCAGGGGTGCTATGGATGACGGGTGCGGATCAGAGCCGTCAGGCAAACTGGGTATCGGCTCACCATCCAGGAAAGACAATCACTGCTCCCACCTCAGGAGCACCCAGGAAGCCGGTCCCAGCCCAGTCACGGGATGGGCAATACTGGGACTGGGGATCCAGGGGATGGACCATGTCCTCTTGTTCCGGGGCCCCACACTGGGTATGACTGGCCCAGGAGATGCCCAGAAACGCAGGATGCACGGGCCTGCGGTGGGCAAGGGCCACAGAGGGAGGCGGTATTCAGGGAAGGCTTCCTGGAGGAGGGGCTTCTCCATGGCCCTAATTCTGGGGCCTGCCCACAGAATTGGCCTCAGAGAAGCTACAGAAGGCTGGGCTGTTTGAGCACATCCTGGAGCACCTGAGTACCTTCTCCACCAACAGGGACATCTGCATCAGTGGCCTGAGCCTGCTCTGGGCCCTGATGGTGGACGGTGAGGGGCCCCTGTTCCCACTCTCCTGCTGGTGGTGGGGGGTGATCCTTGCTGCTCCCTAATTCCCTCTGACAGCCCCCATGGCCTGCCCCTTAGACACTCCAGGAGCAGAGACCACGAAAAGGCTCTTCTGAGCCTGGAAGCGGAAGTGGAAGGTGGCGGGGAGGGGGCCGCCCCCAGCAGAGGCAGGACCTTCTGTCCTGCCCTGGCAAGTCCTCATGGACTCCAGGGGCTCCTGCTGTGGGAACCCCTCTACCTGCTGCACATCCTGGGATTTCCCTGGGCAGTCCCCAATGGTAGCCTGGCTCTGGCACCCTACTCTCGCTCTAGATTCAGAAAAGGGCCCCCAGACTGTGCTGCTTTCTCTCCAGGCCGTCTCGGCCCTCCAGCCATCTGGGCATCTGTTCTGAGGAAACAGAGCTCCCGGCCCCGGAGAGCCTGGGAAACCAGAGGGCACTGTCCATACCCAAAGTGAAACATTCCCCAAGACCAGTTGCGGACGGAGTCCCTGAACTTAAACCCCCGCTTAGCAGCCCTCTCCCTGACAGCTCTTTGTCATCCCTGGTGGGGGCCAGAGGGTGTGGGGCGATGTATACAGCAGGCACTCAAGGGCTAGGTGTCCCTGCCATTCCGTGCTGGTTCCAGCTGTCATTGTGAACAAGACCCCTTTGGAGAAAGCCCCCGTCCTCCTCCTCAAGGTTCTGGCCTCGTACCCTGGGGACACGGAGATGGCGGAAGCTGGCTGTGCGGTCTTCTGGCTGCTGTCTCTTCTGGGTGAGCAGCGCAGGCAGGGAGGTGTGTCCCCCCACCCCATCCCAAGGCCACGAGGCCTCAACCAGGCCCTCTGCAGGTTGCATCAAGGAGGACCAGTTTGAAGACGTGGTGGCCCTGTTCCTGCAAAGCATCCGGCTGTGCCAGGACAGAGTCCTGCTCGTGAACAACGCCTACCGGGGGCTGGCCAGCCTCGCGAAGGTGTCTGGTGAGCCCGGCCGTGGGCGGGGCCTACCACTAGGAGGTGGGGGCAACACTCAGCAAGGCGTGTCTGCCGGTTCCTGCAGACCCAACCCAGGAGCAGATTCAAAAAAAGGGGAAGAACAGTGTATAGTTTCTTCATCCAGAAGTTGCCATGAAGACTTTCCATTTTGGCTACACGCTACACTGCTCAAACACATGCTGGGCGTGCACACGCAGCCCTAGCGGGTTCAGCTTCTCAAAGCACCCCAGGAGCCAGGTCCCCGCTCTGTAACAGGAACGGTTTGCTGTTGCTCAGTGCGCAGCGCCTGGCACTGTGACGGGTTCACAGACACTTGGGGCTACATACTGCACAAGGCTGCCGGCTGGGGTGTGAGCGGGGCTTCAGCCCCTTTGACATCTGGTCCCAGGGCAGATGCACAGGGTGGCCTAGGCTGGGAGCCTAGGGGCGGCCGGGCCTTTGTCTGCTTCTGAGCCTGAAATTGTCCAGGCCCGAGGGAGTACGGCCACCCTCAGTACTGGGAGGCTCGGTGGAGCACTGGCAGGCTCTTCCTTTCCGGTTAGACGCCCCGGGCTCCAGGGTCTCCCCCAGCCCAGGTCTGCATCAGCTGCCCACCTTCGGGGGATGGGAGGGGAGGCTGAGGTCCTGAAGACAAAAGGGATCTGGCTCAGGATGCAGGAGGTGGTCAGAGCCCAGGGCCAGCGTCTGGGAGAGGAAGGGCTTTGCCACCTACTGGCTGGAGACTCAAGTTGCGCCCCTGAGCGTCAGGCCCCCGAGGCTCCAGAGGGTGCAAGGGGTTAACATTCACACAAGCCCCCAGCCTGAGTCAGGGTCTAGCCCCGCCGGGGGTGTACGTGTGCAGTGCTGGGGTTCCCCCCACCGTGCCCATCCTATAGGTGTCCTCTGCCATGCGCTCTAGTGTTTCCTGGGCCCCCAGGCTGAGAGCACCCAGAGGACAGGAGCCTTCTGCTGGGAGAGGGAGGTGAGGTGTACATGTCCCACCATGGGGACACACAGACTTCAGCTGTCCCTGGGTGGCAGGAAGCTGGCCTCTGCCAGTGGCTGAGGTCCTTGCTATGCTAAGTGCTTTGGACTCTCTCAATGACCCTGAAAACTCGGTTACCGCTGTCACCCCACTCGCTAGAGGACACCACGGCACAGGCAGTCAGATAGAGCGCACACCCCCTCCCCCCAGAGCTGGCAGCCCTGCAAGTGGTCGTGCCGGAGGAGGGCGGCAGCGGCCTCGACCTCCTCCAGGAGACGTACCAGCTCTACAAGGACGACCCTGAGGTGGTGGAGAACATCTGCGTGCTGCTGGCCCACCTGGCCGCCTACGGTGAGGGTCCTCCTCCTCACCCCACCCCCGAGACGCCAGTGCTCAGAGGCGGCCCGCTCCCAGCTCTAGCCATCGCCACTTCCTGGTGGTTCAGCAGGGGCGCTCACTAGGCTCTGTGGGTGATGCAGAGCCTCAGAGAGGCAGCAGGCGGGTAGGCTGGGCGGAGCCTTGCGGGGACGGGCCCAGCCTTGTCCTGCCGGCCTCCCCAGAGTGCCCCTGCCCCTGCCGAGGCCATCAGGCTGGCTGTGCGCTGACCTCAGGACCCCCGGCTCTGCCCACAGAGGATATCCTGCCAGAGCTGGCGTCCGGTGGCATCCGGCCCCTGGTCAAGGAGATCAAGGAGCGCTTCACCTCCAGCCTAGTGAGTGTCCGCGGGGACCCCACCAACCAGGCCTCCGACCTGCCTCTACAGTCAGATGCCGGTCGCCCTGAATCCAGGGGCCCAGACTCAAATCTCTGTGTGTATAGTTTCTGATGGCTCTTCTACTTCCAGGAGCTGGTTTCACATGCAGAGATGGTGTTCCTAAGGCTGGAGGCCATCACGCCACCCTGCTCCACGCGAGGACAGTCGGCTCTGCCCTAAGGAGGCAGATGCCCCAAGTCCCCCACCCCCACCCCTTTTCTCCTGCCCTTTCCTTGTATGTCCCCAGGGTTGCCCGCTGACTGGAGTCTTCCTTAGGCCTGGGGGGGGAATGTCCTCCTCAGGGTGAGGCCCAAGGCCAGTGCCTGGCGTGGAAGCGTCCCGGGGGCAGTGCTCTGGGGGCCTGGCTCGGCAGGCGTCTCGCAGGCCACGGTGCTGGCCCGGTCAGTGCGGCGGCTGGGTGCAGCCGTCCTCAAGGGCAACAAAGTAACCTCCAGAAGCTCCGCCTCCAGTAAAAACCTGTATTCGTGTTCAGTACCCTCTGTGGGCTTGGGTCTTCCTCGGGCAGCCGTCAGGCGGCTTGGTCAAGTCCGGCGCTTTGGGCACTGAGTGCAACCCGCGGCCAAACCCACACAAGGCTCCAGCCCAACAGCCGGGGCTCAGCACGTCCATCTCAGAAGGGCACAGTCCCCGACTTCTGGGAGTGACCGCCGTCACCGAGCTCAGACAACCTGAGCCTCACCACCACACCTTGGGCCCTGCCCTTAAACTTGGCGGGAGTATACGTGGGGTGGGGGCGGAACGGCGGCCTTAAAAATCTCAGCCACAGCTAAGCCCGAGACGGGGCCAGGCCCGCGAGGCCAGTGCTCTTTCCGTGACTCAAGGCGGAGGAAGGAGTGGGCCCTCCCCCCAGCCAAGGCAGGCACGGACACCCCGGTGGATGACCGGGTACTTTCCACGCCCAGGACACGGCAAACCCCCAGCAAAGCTGCCACCACGCTGCGGACAGCACGGTACAGGCGGCCCCACCCCCGTCCTGCCAGAGCTCCAGGTGCCCCTCCATGTCCGTCCCCACCTGCCACCTCCAGCTGCGCCCAGGACAGACACTCCTGCCCGCACTGCCCGGCCCCTTGGGTGCGGGGAGGGGCACCTGCTCTCAGACCACAAACTCGGAGGGAAGCAGCAGTTCTCAGCAGCACGCCCGAGAGCCCTGCACAGGATGGAGAATGAGTTTCGACCGAGATGCCGCTCTGGGCAGGCCCGAGTTGTCCCATGTTTGGTCACGACCGCTTCGGGACGGAGACGCTGCCACCATCTGGGGCGGGGGCTGTGGGGCGCCTGTCCTGGGCCGTACTCTCCCACTCCTTCTTCACCAGGATATACAGTCTCATTGCTGTCTGGGCATCCTGAATCTAGAGGACACAGAAGACCACTGTGACTGTCCCTGCAGGTGACAAGCACAGCCACGGGCCACCCAATCCCCCAACTGCCAAGCCCGAGCGCCAGACACTGGGCATGCAAAGGAGAAAGCCAAGCAAAGCAGTGGTTCAGGGACTCGGTCCTGGCCGGGCTTTGGGATCTCCAGGGCCCCGCTTACGGGAGAAGAAAGGAACCCAAGGAGGGGCACGGACAGGCACGCTGCCTTGTGAGGCAACACAGACACACGGACATGCAGGCAGGAGGGCGGGCTCCGAGCGCGAGGCGGACCGAGGCCATGATGTGGGGGCCAGGTTCCACACGCCAGCCTGGCACCCACACTCTTTGGCCCCAGCCTTGGAGCCTGTCACAAAACCCAGGGGGCCAGCCAGCCTCGGTGGCACCAGCCTAAAAGGCCTTCAGTCTAGATGGGGGTTTTTCTCCAAACGACTGCAATAGTGGTAGTTTTTGTGTTCAGTGTTTAGCAGCTAAACGTGAACACTCAGGACGCAGTGAATGTCCTGTGGAGCCCACTCTGTCTCCTCAGTTTTACAGACCCGGGGCCTTCCAAAAAGAAGTCCTCCAGGCCCCTGACCGGGCCCCCGGTCAGGGATGGCCCCCAATCCTGAGGACTATCACCCCAGGACACACTTACCGAACAGTGCTCTGCCTCCTGCACCCTGATCCCCAGGAGCCTCTCTGCAAGCAGCTTCAGAGACGGCCTTCCACTCTGCCGGGGGACAGGGGACAGCACACCGCACGCTGGGGGGGCAGGCCTCTGCAGGCTCTGCTCACGCGAGGGGCGGAGGGGTGGGTGCTGCACCAGGCCAGGGGTCAGGCCAGTCACCTCCTGAGCCCAACCCAGGACCCCTCAGTGTGCCTTCACCTGAGGCGCCAGGGCCCCCCAGGGCTGGAGAGCCCACGGTCGGCTGGAGAGGAGGGCCCGGGAAGGAGCCTGCACCTCCGCCTTTCGGCCTCAGGCCTCCGTGGCAGCAGGTCCGCGGGCAGCTCCCTCCCCAAAGCTGGGGCTCTCGGCACAGAGACTGGAGTGGGGAGAACCCGCTCTCACTCACAGAGACCTCTGAGCGCAGCGCTCAGATCTCTACTTTTCCTTTTAACCTTACAAGAGTTAAAAAGTGACCCCAAACCATAGACCAATCCCCTTTAACGATAAGCTGTCAGGAACCAGAGCCAATCACGACACAGGCGGCAGCACCCCTGCTTCCTGTTCGTACCTTCACTTGACTCTTGAACGGTTTGTATTTCTGAGTGTCCCGAATCTTCTTTTTGGGGTGATCGAGAAACAGCACCTGGAAGAGGAGAGAGTGATGGTCACGGCGGTGGGACCCCCTTCTCTCAAGTCGCCTCCTACGAGGATCCCTAACACAGAACCCGCTCGAGTGAGGACACCGGCAGGACCCGGACTTCTGAGAGACCGCCATCGCGCTGTCCACAGACGATGCTCGGCCGAACCCGGTTACTAAGGACGCAATCCCGAAGCCGGGGACACGGAGACCAACAGCCACCACGTGACCCGTGAGCAGAGAGTCCCCACGTGGTGAGCCGGCGTCCCATGTGCGGGAAGTCAGGACAGTAGCGGACGGCAGCGGCTCCTCAAACGACCTCAGGAGAGCCGGCCGCGTGGGGAGGGAGCAGGAACCGGCTGGGCGGTGGCCATTGAGGGTTTACGGCCCCACATCACACTCGGTGGGCGACCCACTGTCTGCTTCCGCAGTTCAGAATTTTCACGAGGCCATGCAGACCGACACTCAGGGTTGCCTCAAACATCGGAGAACTCCCAGGTTCCACGGAACACTATTTGAGAAGCCCCACGCCCAGGAAGGACAGTCTCCCACTCTGCCTGCCCTGTGGCCTCATCAGAACAGGCGGCCCCGTCCTGCTACAGCAGAGACCCTCGAGAAGCAGAGGCCGGAGGCCACCGCCTCTGGGGCCCCTGGAGCTTGCCTGCCATGAGGAAGACAAATGGAGCCCTGGACGGTCTGGTGGCCATGCAGGGCTGGCCGCAGGGGACACTTCCCCACAGACGGCGGCTCTGACCTCACAGGAGCAGTAGGCCCCAGCCAGCTGGGTGACACTGCAGAGGCAGCGGCCTGGCTTTGTGTACATGGAACGTGCTAGAGGGCCAGGCAGGGGGCCGGGCACCAGGTCCGGGGGCATCCCGCTCTGCCGTAGGACGCAGTGGGCATGTCACCTAACTCACAGTGCCTCGGCTGCCTTTTAGAGAGCCAGGAAACGCCGGGCACTCCTCCCAGGGCACAGGAAGAGCCCGGAGACTGGCACCTGGGGCCCTCACTGGGGCCGAACGCTGGACGCCGTGATCCCCCCACCGAGGTGCCTGATGTACCTTCAGGTCGTTGTGCAGCGCGTGTCCGACCAGGATCCGGCCCTTCAGCAAGTCAGCCACTTCCTGCTGAATGACTTCCAGTCTTTCTCCTGATGAGCAGAGTGTAGACGCGGCCGTCAGCGCCGTGCGCCGTGCCGGGGAGCCCCGCACGCCAGGCCCCCGCGGCCTGAGGGGGGCCTTCTTCAGCGCTCGCAGCCACCCGATGGGAGAGAAAAACAACGGTGCTCCGCCCCGGACAGCAAGGAGGGCTGCTCCAGACCCTGGGGCCCAGAGGCAGAGTGGCCGGCTCTGCTGGCAGACGCCCCCGGGGGCACCCCTGCCCTCACTGTGCCTGCACCCCGTGACTCTGCCTGCCCACCGCCCCACCCCGACAGAGGAAATTAGATGGGGGCAGCCCACTCCACACGGGACCTATCAGAGCCTAGAGCTGAGGGGCTGGCCAGGCCAGGGCACCCCTTGTCAGTCAGGTGTGTGCAGAGGGAACCCGAGAAGCAGAGAAAGGAGACCCGAGTGGGCCAGGAAGGAGCAGTGTGGCCTGGATCCCGAGAGCTTCCAGGACCACTCCAGGCCCCAACCTCGGAGTCCCCCTACGGGGTCTTTCTGGTCTTCCTCCCACAGGACGAATGCACCAGAAAACCCTACAGACTCCGCCTTCAGGATGCGTCTGGGTTTGGGGGCTCCCCCGCACCAGGTCACCAGCAGCACATGCTCCCTCTCCCCATTTCCACCCTCACGGGCCCAGAGTCTCTTCTCAACATCGCGGCCAGAAGGCACCTGCTAGAACCCGAGCCAGGCCTCTCATGGCTCGGACCCTCCCATGGCTTCCCGAAGTCCTCACAAAGACGAGACCCTACAATCTGTCCCCCATCTCCTCCCGACCCCACACTGGCACGGGGTCAGCCTGTCTGACAGACACAAGTGTGTCTGCGAGGTCTCTGCCCACAGTCACCCAGGCGAGGTAAGACTGTTGGGACTCCGGCTGTGGTGGATACTCCAAACAGAAAGGGGACAAGAGTTAGAAAGAGAGGAGCTCCCGGCCGGCTCAGTCGGTAGAGCACGTGACTCGGTCCCGGGGCCGTGAGTTCAAGCCCCGTGTTGGGTATAAAGATTACTTGAAAAACTAATTCAAAAAAGAGAAAAAGAAAAAGGGAGAAGGGACCCAGGCACTGCCCTTCCTCGGGCTCATGGGCCGGGAGGACCCACCCTGCTTGAGGCTCTCCGGCCGTATCCCGCTGACTGCCGTCCTGTAGTCCGTCACTGGCTGGGTGGGCTTGACGTACTTGTCATAAACACACTTCCCATACTGGTTCACAATGGACACTCGGGCGGCGATGCTCTCTTCCCCCTTGGGGCCCACGCCCACCATCTCACAATCCATGGCTAAGGCTCTAGTCAGGCTGAAGGGAGCCAAAGGTTCCAGTTTAATCAACACGGCGGGACGCAGCCACGGGCACCTAGAGCTCTCCACCCACGGCCACGGCTCGCGGGATAAGCTCTCCCCGCTCAGGCTCCTCGCGGGATGGGGCGCGCCTGCCCAATTCAACTAGGGCTCAGCCAGGGGCCAGGGACGGAGCCCCCTCCCAAACCCGCACCCGCTCGGCCGAGCGCCGCCCGCGGCCCTGGCCCCGCGCACCCGCCGAAGGCTTGCTCCTCCACCAGCGTGATGGCGCTCGCGCTCCGCCCCAGCTGCTTTCTTGCTATCCTGGCTGCCTCGGGGCCCAGGGCCGCTTCGATACCTGCCGGGGCCACGTCATCAAACCAGATGTCTTCTCTAAAAGGCAGAGAGGACAGGTTGGAGGTGCTGGTGCTGCGCGGGGGTGGGGGGTGGCACGTGGCTCCGGTGGACTGACTGGCGCACACTGCCGCTTCCTGTTTCGTTACGAGACCGGCTCCTTATCCCCAACTTAGAACCACAGATAAACGCAGAAACGTAAGAACGTTTACCTGGTAAACGTACACGCCAGGTGTAACGACTACCGACGCTCGTTTCTAAACTGAGAAAGTAGGAGGTTCGTCACAAACATTTAGAAAACACAAGCGCAAGACCAGGAGATGGCAGGGGAGAAACTATCACTGAACCACCAATGCAGGGCCGTGAAATGGAAACGCTGACTCCCCATCCGCACTAGGTGGGAGTGACCGCTAGTGTCTTCACAGCAAGCCTTGAACGCAGACGCCCTTGCAAGTGTGCACGTTCCTGCCTGGTGAATTCTGTCTTTCGGGCTCAGCTGAACGTCATTTCCCTGGAAATCTCTTCCTGACCCCACTGAGTGGACGCGCTCCTCTGGCCATCGGCTCCATGAGCTGCTCCATCCTGAGGTCTACTGTGACCGCACGCGCAGAATCCCTAGAAGTGTCTCATTCCGGCCGTGCCTTCTGCCTGACATCAGCCTCCAGCGGGAGGGCCCTGCCATGCCTGCTCCGCTTCCAGAGGGCGTCCCTGGCACAGGGACACGCGCAGGCAGCCCAACCCGTCTTTCCTAGAGCCTTCAGCGACCCAGGCGACTCACCACCGGCCTGTCTTACAGAGAGGCCACCTCCAGTCGAGCCGCTGAGAGGCAGCCACCGGCTCCTGGTCGTCCCTGCGTGACTGACCCCCACTGGGCCAGCACCCCCACCAGGTGCTGACCCAGCGCCCTGCATCTCACAACCTCCCAGTCCCCGCCTGACACCACAGATGACCACACTGAGGCGGGGGGTCAGGAGCTCGCCCCTGCGCACCCGACTCGCCAGATGCGTGAACTGCTCTCAGGCTTGGGTCCTCCTGGCTCTGGCGTGCGTTCATCCCACAGATCTTTACTGGAGGCCTGTTAGTAAGCGCCAGCTCTGCTCTAGGCCCTAGAGATACAACAGTTATCGAACACACCCTGCCCTCATTCTGCCTCTGTGGAAGCGAGTAACAAGCCAGGAAGCAGCAGAGGGTCAGGCGCTGGAGGGTGCACGCTGCGGGGAGGGCGCCTGCCTAGGCCTCCTGGAGGAGAAGGGGCGCAGGTGCTGGGGCTCTGCTCTCGGAGATGAGCCCAGGGGGTTGCTGGCCACACAGGGAGGCAGAGGGGACTGGGTGGGCCACCTGTACTCACTCGGTGGGCAGGGCCGGAGGCAAGGCCAAAGTCACCTCCTTAGCTCTCCACTTCTTATGCCTGAGGTCTCCTGCTTCTGGAGAAGTGTTGCCGTCTGTCCTTTTTCTGGCTCCTTTCTGACCGTGCTCGGCTCTGCTGGCCTGTGTGCGAGGTGCCGGCATCTTCCTGGTCCTTGGAGAATCTGAAGGGACAGGGGCGGCGATGGCCTCGGTGTCTGCGGTCTCCGTCCCCATCTCACGTCTCTGTGCTGCATCTGGGATCGCTTTTCTCTTTTGTGCGACAATCCTGGGCTGCTTTTTGGACTCCGTCTGAGAGACAAGAGGCTTTTCTGGGGCCTGGGTTTTTCGTTTCAGGAGCTAACAGAACCCAAAATAAAAAACACGACATGTCTTAATTTGGAAATCACGCACAAGATGGAAAACACGTGTGTACACACGTGTACGTGCACGTCAGTCACAGCAACATATGTCTGCTACCCGCATCCCGCATCGCGGACACTCATTTTCGCACGGCCTAGGAGGAACCCTTCCTCACGCCCATCTGAAGTCGGTTGTGTTGACATGGCTTCTCCGCCTGTCTGATTGCAACAAGGATTTGATACCTGCTTCCTCGTTCCTACAAAACTTCAAAGCGAGTTTTCATCGTAAGTACCTCCTGAACCACTGAGCAGGGACTACTTGACCCGAAGCCCGAGGGCACGATGCGCAACCCGCTTTCCTGTCTACGGTTCATCAAGAGCTACTTCTCCCACAGATGAGGCCCCGGAGCCACAGCGTGGAAACCCCCGTCCTTCACAAGATCTCTTGGTTTGCTACGGCTGTGCGGGTCTCAGACGCAGCGGAGGAGTGTCGTCACTGTACAGGAGGCTCAAGGGCGGCCAGGGGCCATCCTTCTGTCCTACAAGACCGGCTCTCCTGCGTTCCGCCAGCCCAGCCTTCCCCGGTGCTCCAGTCCCAGCCTGGCTGTTCTCAGCCACAGTGAAGACCCTGGTTATGTGGCCGTGAGCCAAGACACGAGGAACTGGGTTTCGACTTACCAGTTCCCACAACGTTTAAGATTTGGGTAGGGACAGGGTGGCTGGGGGACGGACACTGGGGAGGGTATGTGCTATGGTGAGTGCTGTGAAGTGTGTAAGACTGTGAATTCACAGACCTATACCCCTGGGGCTAATAATACATCACAAGCCAGTTTAAAAAAAAGAAAAAATATCCATGGTTTAAATACAAAAAAAAAAAAAAAAAAGGAAGGATTTGGTTCCTTGTATGACACAGAAAACACAAGGTTTCCCCGTAATAACCACCCTTCCCACGCACTTAATCTTGCTTTACTTTCTTGGGAGAAAGAGGGAGAGTCACAACTCGAGAACCCGTACAGAACCCCGGGGCTTCCCAACGGAACCGCATCAGTCCCGCCCCTGGAGACAGGCGGTCGGGGCCGCCAGCATCCTAAGACACGGGCTGTGCTGAGAGGCTGCGGCAGCCGTTCCCTGTCTGTCTCGCTCACCCGGAGGCTCGGGAGCAGAGTCCAGAAAACCGGCGCCCGAACGGGACTCTGCCCGGCGCCCGCCACGTTTCCACCGGCCGCGCGCCGCTGGGCCCGGTTCTGAAACCCCGTTTCCTCCCTTGGAAGCAGCCAGGACCAAGCAGCGAACTCCGAGGGGCCGCCGAGAATCACGGCGGACCCCCGGGACGGCGGGGCAGAAAGGAGCGTCCGCGGGCGGACTGGCCGCGCGGCAACCCCGGTCCGGAGCGGGAACTGCGGAGCGGGGCCCGGTTCCGCCGCGCGGGCCGCACTCCCGGTCACGCCCCTGCCCTTTCCCGGCCCCCCTCGTCCGTCCGCCGGGGACGCTAGCGGGGGCCCCGCAGGCGGTCGGTCGGGGGAAACGGACACGCACGCAGAGGAGGAGACCGGTCCGCACTTCGCGGCCGCGCGCCGGAGGCAGCCGCCGCCGACGCCCCGGGGCTCGCGGTCTACGTCGGGCGGCCCGTCTGCCTCGGCCCGCGCGGCTCGGCCAGGCCCCGCCGGGTCCCACCCGCCTGCCCGTCCCGCGCGCGGCCCCGCCGCCCTGACCTCCCGCAGCGCCCGCCAGTTTCGGGAAAAGTCCTCCGGCGCCTTCGGAGGCCGCGCCACGACGGCCCTGGGGCCGCCTCCCGGCGTCCTGCCTGCTTCTCGCCCTTTGCTCTTCCAGAAGCTCCTCTTCCTGCTCTTCTTCCGAGGGGGCTTCTGGACAAGCCCCGGCTCCGCCAGGGGGTCGCCCGGGGCGCGCCTGGGGGTCAGCGCCTTGGCCATGCCGCCGCCGCCGTCCGGGGTCCCCGGGACCCGACGCTAGAGCGCAACCGGAGCCCCGCAGCCCGGGCCCGGAGCCGAGCTCTGCCCAGCGAGCGCAGGCCCAGGCCAGCCCCCAAACCCCCGACTCCGGGGACACTCGCCCCCCGCACCCCGGAAGCGACCCCGCGCGCGCCGCCGCACGTGCGCCCCCCCGCCCCCGGAAGTGCTCTTCTCTTCCCGACCCGCTGGAAACCGGGCCTCCGCCCCTGGTTCCGCACAGCCCGGGGCAAGACGGGGCTCTCCGCCCTCCTGGGAGAAGGGTCACCGGCCCAGAGAGCGGCGTCGGTCTCCATGACCGAGGGTGGGGTTCGGGGAGGCCTAGAATCTTCCGAGAGCGAGGAAGGGGATGAGAAACGAGGACGCCGGAAGGAAACTGGGGGGCCGCAGTCGTTGTAGCACCGCGGCTGGGCCGGCCGAGCGCGGGGGCGCAGGCGGCCGCTAGGGGACGCTGGGCGGCCGGGCCTGGGGCGGGCGTGGGCGGAGCCGGGGGGCGGAGCGGGCGGGGCAGGGCCACGCCCCCAGCCGGGCGGCCCGGGCTCCGCCCCTCCTTCCTCCCGGAGTGGGGAAACTGAGGCCCGGGGACGAAAGGTCGACCCCAGCGCAACGGGGCCGCAGAGGCTCTTGAGCCATAGCCGACAGCAACGAGGAAACATTGTAACAATGCTGAGAACTATTTTGCGCAGCAGCGGTGGGAATAAATCACCAGCCGCCCTCTGCCTGGCCCCTCCGTGCCTCGATTCACGCCGCGGAGCAGCCTCGGCTTCCCGAAAGTCTCCACGTGGGTCTGCGCGCGCGGGGCGGGGGGGCTCCAGGGAGACGGCTCACACACCAGCCCGGGAGTTCGGGTACCGGCAACTGCCAGGCAGCGGGTAACAGAGATGCCGGGAAGAGGTTGACCCCGGGCGTGGGGAGGGGTGCGGTTACCAGACCGCCCGCAGGATGCCCGGGGACCTGGGCATTGCAGGTGAGTAATAATTTTTGTCTACTTGTGCCCGACGCGTTAGTTGCAACATCGGAGGCATACTTAGACTAAAACAAGAAGTATTCGTTGTTTATCGAAAACGGAAATTTAACGAAAATTCCTGATTTTTATCCTCTGAGAGTGGCCACCCTATGGGGGGGGCGGGGCCACTTAGATCGGGTCACAGGGGAGGGCCTCTTTGAGCAGGTGACAAGTGAGCGGAAACCTGACGGGGAACCAGGGCTCAGAGGGAAGACCCGCAAAGCCCTTGACGCCTCTGAGCACGGGGAAGCCAGCCGGGGCGGCTCAGGCTCTGTGCGCCAAGGGGAGACAGGAGCAGCAGGGCAGCCCCACCTGCGATTCCAGAGTCTCGGAGGCCGCGGGAAGGGTTTGGACATTTTACTCTTAGGGCAGGGAAGCCATCGGTTGCTTTAAAGCTGGGGGGTGACGCCGTCTGACTTGAGTTCTTAAAGGATCACTGCCACTGTGTGAGAAATGGGACGGGGAGGGCGCGCAGGCACGAGAGAGTGGGGAGGCCGGGTGGGAGCCCATGACCGATGCCCAGGCCCTCGGTGATGAGCTTGGATTGTGGGCAGTGTGTCCTCCAGGGAGCAGTCACAGAGACAGTCAGGAGCCCGCAGCGTGAACTGGGATGACGTCCGGGGAAAGGTAAAAGGGGAAACGCGGGATGGGCGGGAGAGCCTAAGGCAATCCCACAGATCTGGCCTGGGAAAGGAAAGCCAACCGGCCCGGGGCCCGGGATGGAATCCTCGCAGCCTCCGGGATAACAGAGGACACCGGGGCAGGGACCCTGCACCGTCCCCCGCTAGCTGTCAGCTGAGTCGGGGGGTGGTGTCCTGGAGGTGTGAGGGAGCTGGAAATAGTGCTTTGGAGAGCGTGACTGAGAACCTTCCAGAAAGTAGAGTGGGTTGCCAGGTGGTCTGTGATGCTGAGGGCAGCGTGGTGCCATGTGGCCTGGTTCTGTGACTGTCCACGGGGGCCAGACACAGGATAGTGAGTAGTGGGGGGAGCGACTGAGGCAGAAAGTGTCTTTGAGACGTGAGGGTAGTGGGGGGCCCGGGATCTGCACTGGGTGAGGAAGGATGGAATGAAACAGGGTCACTTATATGTCAAGGGATCTCAGAATGGAGCCAGGGGTCCATTAAGGAGACTGGCCATATGCCTGTCCTCACCGGTGGACACGTGACCTCTTGAACTGGGCCAAAGTGCAAATATTCCAGGGACCAACCCTGACCCTTCAAGCCCCCCACAGTGAGAGACCAGCAGTGACAGCCTCAGTGCAGATTATGTCATGCGGTTCCCTTTCTGCTGCCGACACGCATCACAAGTTGTCTGTGAGCAAGACACCCAAGTGGCCTATCTTAGCTGTGAATGCTTCTGAGATTTGCTCCCTAGTGGGGCTTTATTTGGGTCGTGGCCCAAATCTCGGTGCCCTGGATAGTGATTCTTCAATCCCAGATAAGTGAGCTTGTGTAGTGATCACCTCCTGATGATTTTAGCTAGACACAGAGAATGGGGAGTGGAGAGCAGGACAGGTCACAGGGTGTCAGTAGAGGAGAGCAAGTTGTCGGAGCTGGAAGGCGCAGCATGCCTTCAGTCAGGGGACAGTAACCCAGCCTCGGTTCTAGAATCATGCCTGGATCCACATTCCCATGATCCCCGGTCCAGTGCTACTTCCTCGTGACTCTGCTGCTTGGCCCAGCCCCATCCCAGGGTGTAGGATCCGCTGCCCTGGGCCCAGGACTCACCTCGTGCGAGAGTCTGCGGGCTGCCCACTCCCATGGCCCCTGCCCCGAGAGGAAGCTCCCAAGAGTAAACACAGCCTCATCTTCCCGCCCACCGGGGTCTACCACATTCCACACCGGCCAGATGTCCAGTCACAAGGCTCTCTCCCCGGGCTACAGGCTGGTTTTCCCGAGGATGAGGGAGCCTCACCCCTGGCACAGAGGCTTGGGGGCAATTCTCACTTCTGCCCTCTTTCTCCTGGGCTGCTGGGGACTCTCCGATTTCCAGCAGGTGGGTGAGTCTGCAGGCGTCGAGGTGTTTGGGGACCGCCCTGGGGCCGGGAATCTGAGCTCCTCTGGGTGCTGAAGGAGGGTGCCCTGGGGAGAGAGGGAACCGCCTGGGGTTTTCTCTCAGCTTTGGGGTTTGCACTGGGCAAGGGGCAGATTTGAGCGTAGGTTTTTTTTTTTTTTTTTAAAGATTTTATTTATTTGACAGAGAGAAATCACAAGTAGGCAGAGAGGCAGGCAGAGAGAGAGGAGGAAGCAGGCTTCCCGCTGAGCAGAGAGCCCGATGCGGGACTCGATCCCAGGACCCTGAGATCATGACCCGAGCTGAAGGCAGAGGCTTTAACCCACTGAGCCACCCAGGCGCCCCTGAGCGTGGGGTTTTGGGGATAGAGTGTGCTCACTGAGGAAGGAATGGGCTTCTCCATTCTGTGTCCTCCTCCCCCACCCCCACCCCGATTTCCCCCTCCCCCTTGCCTTGCTCCTCTGCCACCCCCTCTCCTTCCTCTCTTCTCCCTTGTCCTTTCTGTCTTGCAGCAATTTCTTCAGGCTTTGGAGCCAGAGGAAGTGACTTCTTATTTCGGTCCTGAAGCTACTTTAAAAGGTACTTGTCGTGGGGTCTTCTTGGCAGGGGGGTTCTCAGGGTCAGGGCTCTGCTGGGGGAGGAAGTCCAAGAATCTGCCATCATTCCTGTTAATCAACTCCGGACTTCTGCCAAGTCCATGAAAGCCTTCTGGACCAAGCTGGGGTTCTGACCCCAGGCTTCTGCTCAGTATCTCAAGGAAACAGTTACTGATTAGCTGGCCCCTTTTGCCCCGGGGCCTCCCTTGGGCTAGGGAAGCCACAGGAGCTCTTGTGGTTTCTGGTCATGGATGGAAATATTTATCCTTTCTGTGAGAAACAAGATAGGCCCTGGCTCAGGCCCAGCCAGAGCCTTCCTGTCGCTCTGGGCCCCGTCTGTGGACCTCTGTGCGGTGCCAGGCCCCTTTCCGAGTTGGGCCATTGATCTAAAGGCTGCTAGGGACCAGAGGCAGGGTGGGCTAGTCAGGGTGGAAAGAAATAAGGGATGTCCCTCTTGTGCCCAAATTGTCTGAGGCCTGGGTCAGATGCACACGGAGCCCTGCTTGGGGCCACCTCGGGGTGGAAACTTGTGAATCGGGACCCCAGGTCCTTGGAGCTCTTCCCCTCCTGGGGCCTGGGGTCCTTAACTCCTCTGGGGGCTCCTTAGCGGGGAGGCAGGTGGGTGGAGAAGGATGGCAAGGCTGGTCTCGGGTGCCTGCTTTTCCTAGAGGCTGGACTTGTACCTGCTCTGCCCATTGGGGTTCATGCCACCCCTCGTGAAACCCCTCATGGGTCGAGGCTAGTGTGCTGAGCGCTGGTCTGCCCCGGAGCAAGGCCCAGATGGAGAAGCAACTTGCACTCTGTCCTCCTACAAGCCAGAAGGAGCTGAATTTGAACCCAGGCACCCCCTCCACCGGGGTTCCAGGCCAGCACGCATCTCCACATGCCAAAGGGAACGGATGGGGCTCCCTCTCCAGGGCAGGAAGAGGAGGGCCGAGCAGGGTTGAGCAAGGCAGCCTGCTCTCCCTTGCAGTGCCTCCGTTCCATGTGGCCCCTCTCAGCTGTGTCTGTGAAGACGGGCCCCGGGGGCCTCCCTGCAGGACCCCGCGCTGCTCCCTGCACGCCTGGGGCCGGCGCATCACCGTCTCCTTCCCTCCGGAGCGGAGCCTCCTGTCCGCCTCCTTCACCAGCGAGCACGTGCTGAACGCCTCCCTCCGGCTACTGAGGCGGCCGGCCCACCTCTGCTTCACGGGAGGCCGGCCCCTGCTGCCTCCGGGCGCCCGGGCCAGAGTCACTTACTGCTCGGGCGGCTTGGTGAGTGGGAGCCCGGCTTCGCCTCGGGGAGAGGCCGCGCTGAGGGTGTGCTGGGTCGGGGGGACCCCACGGTGCCCAGCCAGGTGTGCCGGAGGACACCGCGTTGGATCTTTGCCTCGCGCCAGGCCTCTGAGGGCTTGTTCCAGGGAGGCTCGGAAAAGCGGGCTGAGTTCCCCAAGGCCGCCGGGCTAGCCGGTGGCAGAGCGAGGCGTGAACCTGGGGGACCACGGAACAGAAAGAACCAGGGCTTGGCAGTCAGCCCTTTGAGTTCTGATTCCAGCTCTGTCCCAGGAGACCTTGGGCCAGTCACTCGATTGGATCTCAGGGTCTTCAGCTGAGAAGTGATGAGACTGGTGTCAGGTGTCCGTGTAAACCTGTCACCATGCATCCATCCGGCCAAAGCCGCTTACGTCATCGTCAGGGCCCCTCCCTGGTTGCTGTGCTGCGGGGCCCAGCGCGGGCCGGGACATAAACCATTCCTGGTCAGCCTGTGACTACTGGTGACTGCTGTGCTGTCTGTTAGCACAGGCCTAGCTAGTCCCTGGAGACCCTCCCAGTTTCTGTACATGTGGGATCCCACCAGTGTCTCTCCAGAGGCCAAGGCCACGATCTGAGGGAGGACTGGAGTGTGGGTGGGGGTGGGTGCTGGCTGCAGGTGTAGAAGTGGGCACAGCCCTAAAAGGGCACGGGTCCTCCCCAGCTGTCCCACAAGGATGGGCTTGGGGGCACTGGACTTGGAGAGGAGCCCTGGACAGAGCTCAGGACAGGTTTTTGCCTGGTGCTGTGATGTCCCAGAGAGGCCCTGTCACGCAGTGGGGCCACTGGGCTCAGTGCCATGCTGTTCTCTCTTCTCTAGGAGGGCGACATCCTGGTGGGTGCGGACAGGTTCTATGTCCAGCCAGTGAGGAAGCAGCACCAGGAGCTGGTGCCTCCCTGGGTTCGTGCCCAGCCCCACCTGATCCATAGGCCTGTCCCCAAGGTCCCCACAGTCCCCGAGGCCCCAGAAGTCATCCAAGGTACAGCCCCTGGGAGAGGGAGGGTGGGACTTCCCTTGGGGACAGCTCTGGGGGGGAGGGCCAGCTCTCCCCAATGCCCAGGGAGCCATGCAAAATGCCGCAGCCGTGACTGAACCATCTTCCTCAGGATGTTGGCCGCAGGGAGGGCAGGGGAGCACGTGGCCGGCCATCAGCCGTGCCCCCAGCTGTCTACTTGGTGAACAGGTAGACATTGAGGCTACAGACAGCCCTTCCTAGCTTACACAGCGCGCTCATAGACGCGCTGTTGGCAGGATACCACTCACTGGTACTGGTTGCTCGCACGACGGGAATGCGGGGGCCCAAAGACAGAGAGTGGCCGCTCAGGGCTGACACGGTGGCTCTGGGCATGATCACAATTGGAGAGGGCCCTGCTGCCTCCCAGGCCTGCTTGTCCAGCCCTCGGGCTGCCTCCGGGGGCAGGCAGGGCACTGTCTTGGGCAAGCGTTGTCACCTTGGAATGAGCCTGTTCTGCTCTCCAGCAGGTGCCCAGAGGGGCATCAAGGATGCAGAGCCAGTGCCCGGGGCTTTGGAGAGACGTAAAGGACCAAAAGGCCACACAGTAGCTCCCTCCTTGGGCCCTGCACTGCCACCGGGCCCTTTCAGATGCTCCGGGATGCCTGGTCACTATGGGATCTGGCCCTCAGGGTGGGGCGGGATCCAAGACCCAGCAGCCTCTCGGGCTAGCCACCACTAGTTCTAATAGTTGCTGCAGAAAGTGACCTGCGACAGTTTGGGACCCTCAAGCCTCCTGAGGCGTCGGGAGACCCACTCCCGGAAGTAGGGGCTGAGAGTGGGCCCACCCTAGGCCCGCTCCCCGGGTGTCCACCCAGCTGGGAGGCAGGGATCGCCTGCCCCCCACGTTCCCCATGTGAAAGCTGAGGACCCCTGTCTCCCTAAGCTCTGTAGCGGGAAGTAGTAGGGACCGGGCTCACACGGTGTCTCCGAGCCTAGGAAAGACCTGGGCATGGGGGTCCAAAGGCACGAGTCATCTTCTTTCTAGAATCTTTGCTGTCAGCCCTGCTTCCTCCCTCAACGGGCCGTCCTCCTTCCCCTCGCGTCCGGAGATGGGCTGCAGGGAGTGTCCTGCACTTGGAGCTGCTGGTGGCCGTGGGCCCCGATGTCTATCAGGCTCACCAGGAGGACACCGAGCGCTACGTGCTCACTAACCTCAACATGGTGAGTGTTCCTTGTGCAGCGCCTTGGATGGCGCCAACCCCGATGCATGGGACTCGGGAGCCTCTGGACACGGTGCCCCATGCCAGGAACTTGGGTGGAATGCGATTGGCTGGCTTGCCTGGGAGTTTGAACTCAGGTTGAACTCGGTGTAACTCTAGGTCTGGGGTCATGCTTGCGGCCCAGGACTTTGGGGGTGGGAAGGGGTGCAGCCTGCACTTTGCTTCCTCCTCCCCTCCCTCACCTGGAGTGGAGGTGGGCGAGGGCCCAGGACCCCCTCTTGGGTCCCTAGTACACCCCACGGCCTCTTGCTACTTGGGTCCCTTCTCTCCAGGGGACTCTCAAATCTGGCCTCTGTCCTGAAGCCCATTTGCTCCGTGGGAACCTCGGCCAGCAGTGCCGGCCCTCTTCTTGTGGGCACCCCATTGCCGCTGGCCTCCCCTTCACTTGGCTTTAGGGGTGAAGGTGGGGTGGAGAGTACGACTCCCACTGAGTGGTGTCGGAGAGACGGAGTCAGGAAAGGAACGTGAGACCCGTGCCCGCAGCTAGAGAGCACGTGCAGGACACACACATGCGCGGGACACACGCGTGCACACACACACAGTGACTGCTCTAGGCTGCCGCGGAAGCTTCCACAGCGTCAGGAGATCAGGACCAACACGGCAAGGAGAGTGCCGGTCCTGGGGGGTGGGCTGCCCCTATGAATGTGCCCTGCCTCGGGGACGGCCACCTGTTTTGGGCAAAAGGCAAAGTCCCCCAGGCTGACGACCATGGAAGGCTTTCCCTCCACTTGACAGATATGGGACCTGGGCTTCTGGGCTCCCTTAGCAGCATCTGAGCAGCGTGGGAAGGGAAGCAGTGGAGCTCGGATTCTGGCCCAGGCCAGCCGAGGCCTGTGGCCGCACAGTGCTCTCACGGGGCCGTGTGTCATTCAGAGGATGAGCTGGCGCCAACAGCCACATGACAAGTCTGCTGCGATCGGCATCTTGACACGTGGCGAGGGAGAGCCAGGAGGCTGGCTGGGGCGTGGGGAGGGGCTTCTTTCTGGAGTACCCAGGAAAGGGCTTGTGGAGGGAGGGGGGCCCTCGTGCCACCTCATGGAGACGTGCAGGTTAGACAAGCAGAGAACAGTTTCAGGTGGATGGACAGAAAAGAGGACAGGACGAATCTGGTGAGAGAGAAGCAGGGTTGGAATGGAATGTTCTAGACTAATAACAATTATCTGTGTCCCATTGTTTCAGGGTTCTGTGTGTGTGTGTGTGTGTGTGTGTGTGTGTGTGTTGAGCCTGAGCAAGGGGAGGACAGGAGCGCATCTGCCCTTCCCTGCGGCCGGCTCTCCGCCGGACAACTGGCATCTTCCCCCTGTGCCGATGGAACGTCTTCTCCGGACTCCAGCGCGCCAGTCGGGCCACGCCAGCCCATGAGTCTCCCCTCTCTCCTGCCCCCCACAGGGGTCAGAGCTGCTGAGGGACCCATCTCTGGGGGCTCAGTTCCGAGTACATCTAGTGAAGATGGTCATCCTGACCCAGCCCGAGGTAGGCGCCGAGCTGGGAGCCCAGAGTCACCGGAAAACCCATTTCTGTTCTCTTTACCTCTTCCCGTGGGTCTCCGCCTCATAACAGGGCTGCGGTGAGGACTGAGATGCCAGCGGCCCCCGTTGGGCGCCGCTTCCATAAACGCAGCCTCTCTTATTGGATCCCCCAGGATGCGCCAAGCATCACGGGCAACATCACAGCGTCACTGCTGAGTGTCTGTGAGTGGAGCAGGACCGTCAACCCTGAGGACGACGCCGATCCCGGGCACGCCGACCTGGTTCTCTACATCACCAGGTAGCCGTGTTCCCTGGGGGCACCCCAGCCCGCCCGGGAGCTGCCCCCCTCTGCAAAGGCGGTCCGGCAGGCATGTCCGCACCACGCAGATGGCTGTCCTCTCTTCCCAAGGTTTGACCTGGAGTTACCAGATGGTAACCGGCAGGTTCGAGGGGTCACCCAGCTGGGGGGTGCTTGCTCGTCCTCCTGGAGCTGCCTCATCACTGAGGATACTGGCTTTGACCTGGGGGTCACCATCGCCCATGAGATCGCGCACAGGTAGGCACCCTGTCCCCAAGCTGAGGCCTAGGAGCTGACCTGGGCTCCCAGGAGGTCATGTCGGGGCTGGCAGAGTCTGTTGGAAGGAACCTATACCCTTGGCCCCAGTGGACTCAGGAGGTGGGGGAGGGACAAGGGCTGGGAAATCTGATACTGCTTGATTTCCAGATAATTAAAAAACCCTTTTTTCCCCAAAAAACAAGCAAGATGAACTTAACAATTAGAAAATCCATTTCTTAGGAAATTCAGGTAAAGAGAAAGCAGACGGTCAAAATTATCCCAGATCCTACCACCCAGAGAGACCGTCTGTTCATGTTTTGTTTTAGTCATTTCTTACCCACACACATCATTTTTTATTTGCAAAATTGGGATTATATTGTATGTTGTCTCATTACTATTTTCTTGGTGGAGCAATACATCCCGAACATTTTCCCCAGAGTTTTTATAATTCTTTTGGTGCGCATTATTTAACTAATCCCACGCTGTTGGATTTTAGGCTGTTTCCAGATTTTTCCTGTTATGGGTGCTCTGCATTCTGTAGGCATATCTGTGCTCCCGTCTATCGTCACTTACCCGTGGCGAGTTTTCTCGATGATCTTTAAGTCTTTTCATTATGAAAGTCGCGCCCGCGTGCAGCACAGAGACTCCTGAAGTAAAAACCTGGGTCTGTGCTCCTTCCCCTGGGCACCCACCGGCCCAGGCCTTCCGGCTCCTCTGAGCTCTGTGCGGCCCCCCGCACCCCTGCCTCTGTGGGCGGCTCAGGTGCCCGGTGAGCCTGGGCTCCTCACCCCTACATCAGCCCCCAGCAGTTCCACCTTCACCCTGGCTCCAGCCCCTGCACTTGACCCTCGACCCCCACCCACCCACCCCGCCTCCACAGCGCCTCCATCCGTCTTGTTTTGGAGGAAAAAGTTGTTTTGTTTGTTTTAAAGAAGGTTTTGAAAACCAGTGTCCATTCCCCTGGGAGTGGAGACGGTGGCCGGAGTCCTGGGCGTTTTCTCGACTTCTTTACTAATCTAAGGACAGAGGCAGTGGATGGATTTTCCCACTCTGGGCCATCCCACAGATCAAGAAAGTCACCACGGGCAGCCCCGCACCCCCCCCCAGGTGCCTCACGACCCCGTCCTCCCTGACTTTTAACACCACCAAGTGGCTTTCCTCAACATTTTAAAAGCCTTTCGATGTTTATTAGCAGAAAGAGGCAGGAGGCTCTGGCTAATAATCAGTGCTCTCTCGGCTGGGAAACTGAGGCAGGGCTCTCTGACGGCAGGGTCAGGAGGCCGCTGGGGTCTGAAATCATGCAGCTGGAGGGTCTGCCAGGCCTGGAGTGCAGGGGTGGGCGGAGTGGGTGGGTAGGTGAGGGGACCCTCAGCGGTTGCCTCCGCTGCACAGCTTGGGCGTGGAGCACGACGGTGTGCCCGGCAGTGGCTGCGGGCCCAGCGGCCACGTGATGGCCTCCCAGGACGCCGTGCCTGCCCGTGGCGATCTGTCCTGGTCCGCGTGCAGCCACCGGCAAGTGCTGCAGCTGCTCAGGTAGCTGCGTTGGTCACCCCGCCCTGTCCTCCCAGTGCCCTCATCTCCACGCGGGGCGCACCCCCACTTGTCCCCCAGACCCACCCCTCCCTCTGCCCCAGCCCTGCCCAGCCCTCTGTTTACTCCCATCCCGTCCTGTGCCTCCCTCCGCATGGGCCCCATCACCTCCCCGGCGCTCTCCTCCATCCTCCACCACACCCCTGTACCCACCCTTCCACCTACCCCCTCCACCGCGTGCCCCTCCCTCTGTCCACACCTCCTGGTGCCCGCTCCCTCCTTCCCGCCCGCTCCTGCTCTTCCGTCCCACCTGCTTCTGCGTTCACCCCATAATTCTGCCCCATCCATGCCCATCCCCCCAGCCACCCTGCCTTTGCCTCCACCCTCCTTCCCACCCACTCTGCCGTGCAACCCTCGTCTGCCGCATCCCCCTTCTCAGCGCTGCATCGGGCCCCTCAGCTCTGGATTTGAGCTGCCTCTGAGCCCAGGGCCGCTCGTGGTGCGGGTTCGTGCAGAGAACTCCGGTCCTCCCCCTCTCGTGCCCTCTCCCCCTTCCCGCCCCCACCCCCCACCCCGTGTCCACCTGCAGCCTGAGCCCAGGCCTTGTCGCAGCACAGGACGGGCGCACTGCCTGTTGGATCTGCCGGGGCCGCAGGCCGGGACCGCGGGGCGCCCCCCCCAGGCGCAGCCAGGCCTCCTCTATGGCGCCGACGAGCAGTGCCGTGTGGCCTTTGGTGCTAAGGCAGTGGCCTGCACCTTCACCAGGGAGCACCTCGTGAGTTGTCGTCCCCCCGCCCCGACCCTGGTCCGCTATCCAGCCCAAGCTCCCTCCACCTGTGCCCAGCTCATGCCCCACTGAGAGCGCCTGCTGGGCCAGGCTGGGTCACTTGTTAAAATTCTTAATTTTTTTAAGAAGAGTCCCCATGTTTGCTCCCCATTTTGACACATTTATTCCACAAATTATGTAGAGTGGGCCCTAGCAGGCTCCTGACTCTGTGCCCAGGGAACTTCGATAGGCAGTCATTAAAGGCTTCCAACTCAATGGGAATCTGGAGGGCTTCCTGGAGGAAGTGACCTCCAAACCAAAGCCTGTAGCAGCCGTGTAAGCTGGCAGGGGGAGGGGAGATGAAGGGATGAAGGGGGCAGGTGCCCCAAACGCAGACTTCCTCGCTGGGCTGACAGGACTTTCATGGGCCCCAGACACCTTTGCCTTCATGGCCCCTTTCTCCACATGAAATATTAAGACTTATTATCAGTGTTTTAAATATTGCACGAGTATTGTAAATACAGTTATATTAATATTACATATTAGAACATCTTTGATCTCAAAGATCATCTTTTTCTTTTGATTTTGAAAGAAATGAAATCGTATTTGTGGGCCACTAAAATGGGCCCTGGTCAGCGTCCCTGTCCCATGGAGAGGTGTGCTGTGCCCTCTCTCCCTCGCCACCAGTGCCCATGGAACAGTGTATGTGTCAGTGGGTCCTGTGGTGTGGGGGTACAATTAAGACTGGACGCTGAGCCAACGGGCTGTGGTGGCCCCGAACCGGGCACTTGTCTCCCCTCTTAGGACATGTGCCAGGCTCTGTCCTGCCACACGGACCCCCTGGACCAAAGCAGCTGTAGCCGCCTCCTCATTCCTCTCCTGGATGGGACAGAGTGCGGCCCACAGAAGGTCAGAGCAGGAACGAAGGGATGTTCAAGTGCGTGTGCATGTGTGTGTGTGTGTGTGTGTGCCCTTGTCCGCATCCATGCGGGGCCCCAAAGCCTGGCTGCCTGATTTCCTGGGGTGGGGGACAGGAGGATCGGTTAGCTGGGGCAGGGGGCCCCGGAGCTGCTCTTGGCCACCTGGTGGGGAAAGCTAGGCCTCAAGATGCTTCCTGTGTCCCCGTGACCTGCCCAGCCTCTCCGCAGGGCCTGGAAGATGGGACGGGTTTTCTAGGTTTGCAGGACCACTGAAGACCGACAAAGGGCTTGCCGGTGACTCTGCCAGAGCCCTGCCCTCCCCGCACCAGTGCTGCGCTTCTTTTCCCCCTTCCCTGGGTCTGGAGACAGGCTTGTGTTGTCCCGCTGTCCCACAGAGGAGACAAAGGCTCTGAGTGGCCGTGATAGCGTGGTTCAGCTCCCTGACCCAGGCTGCCTCTCGTTGGCTGTACCAGGCAGTGTCTTCCTCTCTCCTGCAGACCTCAGGGCCTCTGTCCTTCCTCTCTGCCCTGCGTGGCCAGACTCTTCCTGTCCTATAGCCTGGGGTTTGCCCTCTTCCGTTTGGCATTGTTTCCTGAGCAGGATGGGGGCGCGGGGGTTCCTGCATGTGCACGCACACACCTGTGTGGGTGTGGGTGTCCTGTGTGGGGTGTCCTGTGGCTATGGGGTGAGCGTGGCTGTGGGGTGCATGTGCATGATATGGGGCGCCCTGGATGTGGGATGGCGTGTCCTTCTCTTGCAGTGGTGCTCCAAGGGTCACTGCCGCTCCCTGGCGGAGCTGAGCCCCGTGGGGGTGGTGCACGGGCACTGGTCTAGCTGGGGTCCCCCCAGCCCTTGCTCTCGCTCCTGCGGAGGAGGTGTGGTCACCCGGAGGAGGCACTGCAGCAACCCCAGGTACCACAGGGAGGGGCCTGTCCTTCAGGTCAGGGAGGGGCCTGCTCCATGTTCCCCGGTTGGGGGGCGGGGCGGCCACCTGTCACCTCTTGTGTCTTATGGACATTTTCAGGCCTGCCTTTGGAGGGCGTGCGTGTGTGGGTGCTGACCTCCAGGCTGAGATGTGCAACACCCAGGTAGGCCTGCTTCCCCCGGGCAGGACGAGAGGCTCCGGGCAGTGGGGCCAGGCCCCGGGGAGCCGAAGGATCGGGGCGGCTGTGATTTGTGGCTCACGCCAGGGCGCTTTGGAGAGTGGGGTGCTGCTGTGTCTCTGCTGGGACCCCAGTGGGTCCTCCAGGTGTCACACCTCTGTCCCCACATGCCACCGCCCTTCCTGGTGGCACCCCTGCCTTTTAGTCCAAGCACAGGTGAAATTCACATCATATCAAATCACCCGTTTTGAAGTGTGGAACCCAGTAGCGTTGGTCCATTCACAGTGTGGCTCCAAAACATCTCTACCACCCCAAGGAAAACCCCAGACCCATGAAGCCGCCACTCCCCTTCCCCAGCCTCCAGCCGCTGGCAACCACCGGTCACTTTCTGTCCCGGTGGATTTGCCTGCACTGGGGCGCTTCATAGAAGTGGCGCCCCACGGTAGGCGGGCTTTCGTGACGGGCTTCTCTCAGCATCACGCCCTCAGGGGTCATCCCCCTGCGGCAGGTGTGAGCAGTGCACTCCTTTTTGTGGCTGAATAACATCCCATCGTGCAGACGGCCTTGTGTTATCTGTTTGTCCGTCCGTAGGCATCGGGGCCGTTTTCACCTCTTGGTTGTCGAGAATCGTGTTCCTGGGAACGTGTCTGTCCATGGACTTTGGTGCCAGTTTTTATTTCTTTTGGGCAGACTCCTAAGAGAGAGGTCCCTGGGTCATAAAGCCTTTCTACATCCAGTTCTTTCTTTGAGGAACCCAGCATCCCGCCCAGCAGGGAAGCTACTCTGCTTCCCCACAGCAGGGTGCAAGGGTTCTGGTTTCCCCAAGTCCTCCCCCTTCTCTACATCCTCGCTGTCCATGGTTTTGGTCACGGCCATCAGACTGGGTGGTTCCTTGGACCTTGAGTTAAGATCCGCACCCGGTGAGACCTTCCCTCCCGCCTTCTGCAGGCAGACTCGGGGCCTCCCCAGCCTGGGAGGGCGCAGTCTTCCCCTGGAGCACAGGCTCGGGGGAGGGAGCCAGCGAGCAGCGCTCTTTACCTCTGTGTCTTGTCCTTTGTCCCGGCAAATTCTCCCGGATTCCTGCATCAGCAGAGAAGGGAACCAAGGCACAGCCAGGAGCTGGGCTCAAGCCCACGTAGTGACCTGTGCCCTGCATGGTGCCTTGTGGCTCCTGGTGGCAAAGGCCACTATCCTAGGTGTCCTGCCCCAAGCCCCCACCCCGGGGCCCCTCCTGTGCCTGTCCTCTGCCTCCTCCCGGCCAGGCCTGTGAGAAGACCCAGCTGGAGTTCATGGCCGAGCAGTGCTCCCAGACAGACAGGAAACCGCTGCACCTGTCCCCAGGCAACGCCTCCTTCTACCGCTGGGGCCCCGCCGAGCAGTACAGTCAAGGTGGGGCTGGCCCCGTTACCCCGATGCCGTGGAGGGCTGGGCACCCGCTTCGGCTCCGCATCAGTTGAATCACGTCCTGGCACCATCCCTTGCTAACAGGCCTGGGGCTCGGCTTTCCCATCTGTAACACGGAGATGGGAGCAGGGCCCCCTGCTCGGGCGAGAGGATTCAGTGCGATGACACTGGGGCTGTGCCGAGGGCGCTCCTCGGCTTCTAACTCCGTGACACCCCTCCGCCCTGATTGCCGTCACTGCCTCAGGAGACGGGACCCTTGCCCCCAACCCACAGGAGGAAGCGGGGGGGGGGGTGGTGGCTGGTGGGGCGGGCCCGCCTGGGTTGTGCTCTGCGGTCTGCCGAGTTGCCTCCCCTACACCAGGGGTCCTTGTCCCTCTGCCTCCCCAGGGGACGCTCTGTGCAGACACATGTGCCGGGCCATTGGCGAGACCTTCATTGTGAGGCGTGGGGACAGTTTCCTGGATGGGACCCGGTGTGTGCCAAGTGGTCATCGGGAGGACGGGACCCTGAGCCTGTGCGTGTCGGGCAGCTGCAGGGTAGGCGTGTGCGGGCAGCAGGGTGCCCTCCCAGCCACGGTGGCCCTGGGGCCAGTCCCATGGGAAGTCAGATGCTCAAGGGCTTCGGGGGTGGGGTGAGGGGGAGTCTGCGGGTGCTGGCCGGCACGAAGCTGCGGCGGAGTCTGCATGGCTGCTCCCAGGGCGCTGGGGTGACCTTGGAGTCGGCTGGAGGTTCCGAGCCCTGCTGTGACCGCAGGGTAGTCATTTACACCTGCTTCCCGTGTCGCCCTCGGAAGCCGCGAGTGCCGCCCGTCAGAGCCTCGCACCCTCCAGTGACACCCGCACGCGTGTCACCGCCACTGCTCTTTCCACAGACATTCGGCTGTGACGGCAGGATGGACTCCCCGCAGGTGCGAGACGTGTGTCAGGTGTGCGGAGGGGACAACAGCACGTGCCAGCCGCGGAACGGCTCTTTCACGGGCGGAAGGGCCAGAGGTAGGGGCTCCCCTCGGGATGGATGGCCGTGCTCCTCCCCACCTCTAAGAATCCCCTGCAGCTCAGAGCCCTGGCAGTGAGCCCAGGACCCTCCGCGTGGGCCTCCGCCTCCGTCCTCCTCTTCACCAGCCTCCCTGAGCAGCTGAGCGTTGGCTGAGGCCTCCACGGGCAGTGGCACTTCAGGGTAGCTGTGATAAGACCCAGACAGGGGACAGTGAGGAGTGGCCTGGCCTCTCTCCTCCCTGAGGAATCCTGTCCGAAGGGATGTTACACTTGGGAAGCCCGCGACTCGGATCGATTTCTGAAAGAGGTCAAGTCGTTCGCAGAGTAGGCGCTTGGAGGGTCAGCCGAGCCGTGGAGTCCCCCTCCCTGTGGTGGGCCACATGCTGAGCCTGGAACCTGGGATTCGGTCCCTCCGCCTGGGCTGGGCAGCCCCCTGGAAGGTGACCATCCGGCCTGGCTTGGATTGGCCCCCGGTGACAGGGGACCCTCTACTGCCTGAGGCAACCCCATTGTTAGCTTTTGGCCTCAAGGTGCCTCCCCCCACCGGGGACATCTGAAATCCCCCTTTCACTCCAATGTCAGTGACCTGAGACCCTCCCCCCGACCCCCGCCGCTTCCTTCTAGAGTATGTCACGTTCCTGACCGTGACCCGCAACCTGACCAGCGTACACGTCACCAACCGGAGGCCTCTCTTCACACACCTGGGTGAGCTGGCCTGAGGGTGCGTCCCTGAGAAACCGAGGCTGAGAACACACTGTCCCCCAGATGCCCTCACGACTTTTTCTTCCTAAGACTCTATTTACTTACTAGAGAGAGAGAACATGAGTGGGGGACAGAGGCAGAGGGGGAAGCAGGCTTCCCGCTGAGCAGGGACTCGATCCCGGGACCCCGCGGTCACTGAGCTGAAGGCAGGTGCTTTCCGACGGAGCCGCCAGGCGCCCCCAGATGCCCTCACACTTCTGACGCCACCTGCAGTTTCGGGGGTCCCCTCAGCACCGCCAGGTCGGATGAGTCCCCAGGAGGACCCCCAGAACACCGAGAGCGTTTCTGTGCGCGGATCTGGCTCGCTCAAGGGGAGGAAATGGTGGAAGAAACCAGAGCGGAGATGCCTGTCGGGCGGAGTCTGGGGGCTCGGTGTCCGCACCGGAGTGTGGCAGTAGGCACCGGCTATCGCCAAGCGCGAGCTCACCCGGGCTCAGCGTCCAGTTTGATTAGGACATTGCGATGTGGGCACGACGCGCGGCTGAGCGACTGATGACCCACGTGATGGCCTCGGTCTCTAGGTCCCCGGAGGAGGCCAACCGAAGCTGCTGTCAGGCTTCACATATTTGGTCTTTCTGGCCTGGCCGGTCCCCCCCTCAAGCAAAGACACTCCTGTCTGGTGTGACATAAGTCCCTTCCTGGAAGGCCACACCTGTCTCTGGGCAAGGCCGCCTCCTTTACCACTTAATGCCACAGCGTTTCTTGATTTCCAGAGGGTGCCCACACCTGCCCTTGGCATCTGGAGTGGGGGTGACGGCCCTGGGGGCCTTGAGCCCCCGAAACCTGCCTGCAGAGCTCCGTGTGGGCAGGCTTGGAGAGAGAGCGGGTCCACAGTGCTCACCAGGCTCTGGACAGAGGTGCAGGGCCACTGATGTGTGGTCAGATGCCTGTGGGCGTCTGGGAGGGTGTCCCCTGCCTGCCGCTGAGACTGCCTGACGAGCCAGGGCGCCGGGCGGACGGGCTCCCTGGGGAGGGCTGGGGCCCCCGGGGAGGAGAGCTGTGGCACTGGGGACTCGTCCCCATGTTGCCAACACCCCGTTTGTTAAGTCAGGACCTCTTCTGTGAGAGGGCTGGCGCCCCAGCTGCCACAGGTGTGGGGGAGGCGGACGCCCCCGCCCACAGCCTTGCTCCCCCCACAGCCGTGCGGATCCGAGGGCGCTACGTCGTGGCTGGGAATTCCAGCATCTCTCCCAGCACCACCTACCCCTCCCTCCTGGAGGACAGCCGCGTGGGGTACCGAGTGGCCCTCACCGAGGACCGGCTGCCTCTCCTGGAGGAGATCCACATTCAGGGACCCAGTCAGGACGACGTGGAGATCCAGGTGATCGGGAGGGCCTGGGGGAGCCAGTGGGGCCTGCTCCTGCTGTCACCTGCTCCTTACCTCAGCAGTCACATGGGGGGGGGGGCACGGGAGTCCCTGGAGTTCTGAGTGTGGGCGTGCAGGGGTTGCGGCTACCCCTGGGGAGGGCTGTGGTGCGAGGGTCTGAGATGAGCTGACGCTGCGGGGCCCAGCAGGGAGAGGGCGATGGGTGCGCAGGGTGCGTTGTTAGGAGGGATGAGGGAAGGGGACCCCACGTGCGAGGAGGATGGAGGCTGCACAGGTCTCCAGGGGTCCTGCTGGCCATGACAGGGCTTGGGGTTTCCCCCCGGGTACTGGGGTGTTGGGGCCAGAGCTGCTGAGGGGGCTCCGGGTAAAGCGCAGGGGGGATCGGGCCTGTGTCAGGCCTGGCCGAAGGAGGCTGTGGGGAAAGAGTGGGATGCCCAAATTGGAGACCCACTGTGGGGGGCGTCCCTCCTGGAGCAGGGGCAGCCCAGCTGCTGGAAACAGGGAGACCCTGAGGTCAAGGGCTGGGGCCCGGGGACACAGGTGGACGGGAGGTTGAATCCTGCCTTGGCAAGAACTCGGCAAGGGAATTGACTCTTCTGAACCTCAGTTTCCCCATCTGCAAAATGGGGCTAAGAATACATACATTATGAAGTTAGTGTGAAGATCCACCTCTTAAAGATAAGGGGCATTAAGTGTGTGGTGGGTGTCCAGCGCCCCACACGTGTGTGCCCCGAGAGGTGGCAGCTGCGACCAACATGCTTGCTGGCTTGGATCTTGAAAGTGCCAGAGTCTGGGGATGCCCCATCCTAATGGTGGGAAAGTGAGGACCACCCCCCCGCTGCAGAAGTCCTGGGGCAAAGGGGTGGGTGCCAGGAGGGCCAACCCAGCAGCCGAAATTTCTCCCAAGCCTCGCTGTCCTCCGCAGATCATGCCAGGTTCTCATCCTGTCTCTGCCGCCGCCCCCAGACCTCAGTCTTCCCCCGTAGAATGGGCACGAGGCTGCCGCCTGCCTCCAAGGGTCGGGGATGCGTTTGCCGGGCCGTGTTGGCAGCAGTCGCTGGTCCAGAGGAGGCTCTGGGTGGATGCTGGCTCTTCCTGTCTCTCGGGGACAGAGTTCCTGCGTGAGCTCCTCTGCTCGTGTCCCCACATGTGCTTTGCAGAGAAAGGGGCTTGGTGGAGTAGATGGACGTTAGCATGTGTTGAAATAGCCCTGGGGAGAGGTCCGAGGCTTGGTGGCCCTTGACTTTGGTCTAGCAGCGCCAGCCTCTGCCCCACAGCTGGAGAGACAGCAGGGTCTGCCCCAGAGTCCACCCAGGCTACAGGGAGCCCCCCGAGGACTAGTGCACTCCTCTCGTAACTCCCCGTGCAGCCCAGGCCATCCACCTCCCAACCCCCAACAGCATTGTTCCCAGGGCCGTGCAGCTGCGTCTGCACGCTTTGTGGTGTGTGTGTAAAACACAGATTCCGGGGCTGCTCTGACCCACTGTGTCAGGACCTGCTGGGCGGGCCCGAGCATCCCCATTCTGTGTGGCCTGATGAGGACTTGTGGGGACAGGGGCTGGAACCTCGGGGCCTCTGGGGCTCTGCCCTCCAGCCTGGCCCCACTCTGGGGCTGGCCTTCGACACAGAGCCCCAGGACCGGCCGAGCTCCCTTGGTGAGTCCAGCGGACAAGGCCCCCAGCTCTCCGTCCGTCTCTGGCAGGTTTACAGGCGCTACGGGGAGGAGTATGGTGACCTTGCACGCCCAGACATCACCTTCACCTACTTCCAGCCTAAGCGGCCACAGGCCTGGGCATGGGCCGCCATGCGGGGGTCCTGCTCCGTGAGCTGTGGGGCAGGTGAGGCCTGGGGCGGGGCTCGCCTGAAGCAAGGTTTGCCCCCTGCAGGGAGGTGGCCCAGCCCCCCTCTTCCCTCCCAGGGCTGCGCTGGGTGACCTACGGCTGTCTGGACCAGGCCAGGAACGAGTGGGTGGAGGCCGCCTGGTGCGAAGGGAGCCAGCAACCTGCAGCCTGGCCAGAGTCCTGCGCCCCTGGGCCCTGCCCCCCACAGTGAGTGCTGCCCGCGCTCTGCCATGCCTGCTGGGCTCTCACTGGCTACGGGGCCCATGTCCTGAGCTGAGATCAAGAGTCAGAAGCTCAATCGGCCGAGCCCCCCAGTTGCCGCTGGGACACCCAGGGGGCCACCGGGCCGAGTGGGCTGTCCCTGGGCCGTGTCCAGGGACCTGCAGGGACATAGGGTCCAGTGCAGAGCAGGGAAGCCGGTCTGCTGGACAGATCTGCCTTTCTCTCCCTGCCTCTCCTGAGCCAGTCCTTGAGGGGACAGGGACGGCCCCGACGCTCTGTCCCTCTCGTCCTCAGCTGGGCAGCCGGAGACTTCGGTGCGTGCAGCGTGTCCTGCGGGGGAGGCCTTCGGGAGAGGGCTGTGCATTGCGTGGAGGCCCAGGGGACCCTCCTGAGGCCACTGCCCCCTGCCCGGTGCAGGGCGCTGGCCCCAGAGCCAGCAGTGGTGGAAGCCTGCAACTCCCAGGCCTGCCCGGGGAGGTGAGCTCCGGGAGGTGGGGAGGCGAGTCCAGAGATGCAGGGCCGCGAGTGCAGGGAGGCAGGGAGGCGACTGCCCAACTCTAGTCAGGGCTCAGGGCTTGTCTTACACCCGGCCCTACCCTTGCAGAGTGTCCCCTCACCCCTAGGACTCTGGCTGGGCCCCACCGTCCCAGAGGGACCAGCTTCAGAATTACTGTCCAGGAGACACTGGGCCGGCCATTTCCCTCTCTGAATCCCCAGATCCTTGCTCACACATAAAGCCATAAGTGTCCCTTTGTTGTTACCATTGCCATCCCCATGGTGCCTCCTTTCCCTTCAGGATCTGAGCTGACAGTGGCTTCTTCTGAGTTGCTGCTAACTGGCTGGGGCACCAGGTCAAGTCCCTTCCCTCTCTGGGCCCCAGTTCTGTTACTGGTCCAGTGGGGAGGGGCCTGGCCTTGGTCACTGGTGGCGCACACATGGCTCGGGCTCCCTTGCCCCTCTCCCGTGCGTGGCGGACCTGGGAATCCTCACCCTTTCCCACAGAGGCCGCTCCTGCCTCAGCTCAGCTGGCAGCCGCCCCCTGTCAGGGCTGGCCTGGACTCGGAACGCGGTTGCCATCCCTCACCTGGGTGGCCTGATTCCGTTTCTCGGCACCTGCTCGGGTGCGAGGAGCGATGGTACTCTCGGGACAGAGGCCCACCTTCCTCTCTGGAAGGCACCGGGTCCAGGCCTGAGTCCCGGCCCCCAGGCTGCCAAGTGGAGGGCTGGCAGCCGCTTGTCCAGAGCTCCGGGGAGAGGCCTCGGGGTTTTGCTTCTTTGTGGGGCTCCTCCTTGAGTGCCGGGGTGCCGGGGTGCGGGTTCACTGCCTTTCCCCGCCCCAGGAGCCCGGCTATACCTGCAGCCCGATGAAAGGCAGGGCCTGCTTCTGTTCTGTCCTCAGGCAGGAGGGCTCAGACGCGCGCTCGCCAGCCTGTGGAGCAGACTCGGCTTTGTGGAATAGGACGTGTGTGTGCAGGGCAGAGGGCCTGGCCACCGTGGGTCCCTGCCCCACAGACGAGAAGCTGCGTGCCCAGGAGCCCTGTGTGGCCACAACATGTTCTCCAGAACCAAGCGATGTGAGTATCCTGGGCACAAGGGTACCCCTGGGCTATTGGGGGCTTATCGGACAGGAGAACAGGGAGCACCGGGTACCCTTGGCCTCCTGGCCAGAGCACAAGGACTGTCCTTCTGCAACGTGGCTGTGTACAGGACCTGCCTCGCTCAAAGGATGAGCCTAGGGAGAAAGCTCCGGGCCTTGTCCCCCCTCCAGCTGGCAAGCTGGGCTTGGGCCCCAGACCCAAGCGTCCCATTAGGATGTGGCTGGTCTGGCTCCCGAGCTCCAGCCTCAGCCCTGCCCTGCGGATGACCGCCGCGCTGGTACAGAGGTCAAGGTGGCCAGTGGGGTGGGGGCGTCCTCAGGCAGCCGGAAGCAAGTGTTCCCAGAAAGGAGCAGTGGGAGGGGCCACCTTTGGGGTTGTGCTGACCACACCCCCTCTCCTGAAGAGATTGGGGTGGGTGGGGTGGGGGATCAGGGATCCAGAGGGGGAGACCGAGACCGAGACCCAGCAGTCTGTTGCTTGTCCCCCACAGCCAGACCCCCGGTCTCTGGAGGAGGAGGCCACATCCCCACCGGGCGGCGCTGGGGTGGGGGCTCACGCCGCACACATGTGGACTCCCCTGGTGGGGCCATGCTCTGCCTCCTGCGGTCGAGGTGAGGCCCACAGGGCTCCTTCACTAACTCCTACCTGCCTACCTTTTGCATAGTTCTAAAATGCATTTGAACCGGCTCAAGTTCAAATCCAGACTAGGTCAGAGAATCCAGACTAGGTCAGAACATGACGTCATATACAAATAGGTTGGGGCAAGTCTTCATCGCTTGGGTGAAAGGCAGGAGACACAATAAAACTCGGCGGTATTGGCTCCCACACGTATTTCTAGAAAGTCAGCGAGTAAAGGGCCCCAGACAGCTCTGAGCTTCCTGGCCGCCGTGTCAGAGCAGCAAGGTTTTAAGATACGATGTGTTCTTGCACTACAGGCCTCGGCACTTGCCCAGGGAAACCGTCCGTGTTCAGAATCAAGTCCAGGGATTCTTTTGAGGCTAGCCCTAAAGCAGAGATTCGCTGAACCGGACCCTGATACCATCGTAGTCATAAACACAATACAGGATGGTTAGAGCAGTTCTCACCGAGTGACAAGAAGCAGAGCCGCCGCTGGAGGGCCTGCCATGGGCCAGGCCCTTTGTACCCCACTTCAAAGTCCGTATAAATATCCCTGTAAGTGAGGCACCATCAGGTGAAAAATCTGAGGCTCAGAGAGGTTAAGTCACTTGTCCAAGGTCACCCAGCTGGCGAGTCGGATCTTCTGGAGCTCTCCAGAGAGCGGGACACCCGTAGTTCTTGTCGAACCCTCCTCTTGGGGCTTGGGGTCTCTGCTTCCTCCCCACAGGCCTGAGGGAGCTGCGTTTCGTGTGCATGGACTCTGTCCTGGGGACCCCTGTTCAGGAAGAGCTCTGTGACCTGGGAAGCAAGCCTGGGAGTCGGCGGGAAGCCTGTCGGGCTGCCCCTTGCCCGGCTTGGTGAGGGGGGGGTGGAGACTATGTGGTGGGGGTTGGGGGTGGGGGGGAGGCAGCAGCCCCAGTCCCTGAGGGAGGGAGGCGTGTCGCCCCGGGGTGTCGCCTCCGACAGAGCGCTGGCCTTCCTGCTGCAGGTGGGAGACCCGAGCCTCGGCACCGTGCCCAGTGACCTGTGGACGGGGCTGGGTGCCACTGGCTATTCGGTGCGTGAGGCTGGACCAAGGCCACCCTGTCCCCCTGCCTCCCTCCGAGTGCTGGCGGGTGCCCAGGCCCCGCCCCGTGCAGGACTGCAGCCGGAAGCCCTGCCCTGCCAGGTGGGCCCCTTCCCAAGGAGACAGGTGGTCCCAGGCACGCGTCCTCGGAGCGGGCCTCAGCCCCTCCCTGTAAGCTGCTCAGTGCCCTCCCCTACAGGACCCTGCACTGGTGTCCTGGAAGGCTGTGGTGGGCTTCAGGCATGTGGGACGCTGTGAGCACGCGTGGCTGATGGCTCGTCATCCCTTGCTCTTCCCCGAGCGCCTGCCACGCCCGGGGGCTGTTCTGATGGTAGGGACACAGCAGTGAGCGGGACAGAAAGGTACCCCGGCCCTCCTGGAGCAGAAGCCAGGGGCAGTGGGGAGATGGAAGAGTGAGCAGACAGACCGGGAGACACAGTTTGCCGTTGGCATTGGCGTGATGTGGCAAACACAGCGGGAAAGAAGATCGGGAGTGCCGGCCAGCCTGTGGGGGGCCGGCATTCCTATTAGAGACACAGCCAGCTTCGCAGTCCCCCTGGGGTGCTCTGTCTCTCCCCTGTCTGCCCTTTGAACACATCAGTTTGCCCTCAGCGTTCTGTCTGGGAAGTGGGCCTTTCGGAATGTTCTCTGTCCACTGTGCCCAGCCTCTTGGTGGAGACGCAAGGGTGCCCCTCAGAGAAAGGACGTCTCTAGGCCCTTCCCAGTCTGGGGAAACGAGGGACGGCCCCGTTCCCCTGGGTTCCCCCCAACTCCGGTGTGTTTCAGGTGGAGGTATAAGCTGGCGGCGTGCGGCGTGAGCTGTGGAGGAGGGTTTGCGCAGAGGCTGCTGTACTGTGCGCGGGCCCACGGGGAGGATGAGGACGAGGAGGTCCTGCCGGATACCCAGTGCCAGGGGCTGCCTCGCCCGGAGCAGCGGGAGGCCTGCAGCCCAGAGCCCTGCCCGGCCAGGTCAGCAGCCCAAGGGTGTCGAGGAAGCAGCTTGACGTTCCAGAGTGTGCAGACCCCAGGCCAGTCACCGTGGGGCTCATGGGCTGGCTCCAGCCCGGGAGATGGTCCTCAGGGAGCAGGATTCCCTGGCAGGCCGCCCTAGGAGTCAGAGGCGACATTCCAACGAAATGCAGACGGGGCTGCAGGTTCTCAGCAGGGCTTGCTTGGGGGGGCGCTGGAGAGGTCTCCGGGAGGAGGAAGGGTGCGGAGCCCGAGGGTGGTCCCCCCACCAGCCCGAGGGTGGTCCCAGCTGGGGAACAGGACCTAACAGCTGAAGCCAGCGAGGTCCCGAGGTGGGGTTGGAGCCTGCGGGGGGGCCCATTTCTCCACCAGGGGTGACTCTGCCTCCCACAGGACATGTGGCAGTGTCTGGAGACATTTTCAATGTCACGGCTAGGGAAGGGGGATGCTAGTGGCCTCCGGTGAGCGGGTGGAGGCCAGGTGCGCAGTTGAACATCCCACACAGCCCAGATGCCCCCACGACAGGACCGCTGGCCCCCGAGGTCAGTGGTGCCCAGGTGGAGAAGCACGTGTGCTCTGAAGGGCGGGTAGGGGTCTCGGTCTGGTTCAGTCCATCTCCCTAGCGTCTAGAACAGCGCCAGGCCCGCCGAAGGCATGGTTGCGAGGTGGCATCCCAGAGCCAGGAGGCGGCCTGGTGGCACGGTGGGGGCCTCAGCCTCTAGCACGGGTTCCCGGGGTTCGGTCCCGGCTCTGAAAGACCTCAGCCGCTACCGTTTGTTGACCAGTTAGAAATGAACACCGGCAGGGCTGACCCGGGCAGAGACTGGTTTTCCTCCTCCTGGGGCATCTTCTCCCCCATCCCTTTACTTGGAGAATGGAGGAGCGGTGAGCCCTCCCTGGCTCAGGGCCGCGCTCTGGGCCTTGGTCTCTTGCAGGTGGAAAATCATGTCCCTTGGCCCGTGCTCAGCCAGCTGTGGCCTCGGCACTGCCACACGCTCTGTGGCCTGTGTGCAGCTCAGCCACGGCCAGGATGTGGAGGTGGAGGGGGCAGCCTGCGCGGCTCAGGTGCGGCCTCAGGCCAGCATCCCTTGTGTCATCACCAACTGTACCTACCGATGGCATGTCAGCTCCTGGACACAGGTAAGCGCTGGGGCTGCGGCTGGGGAGTACGTCCGCCCAGGGTCCTGACTCATGGGGACCCTGGGGGCTTTGACTCATTGTGATCCCCTGAAAGGAGGGAGAGAGTAGGGTGGGAGGAGGTGGCCGGGTGCCTAGAGATGGGAGACATAGCAGGGCCTCGAGACCTGAGGGGCAGGTCCGGACCGAGGTCTGGAGACACCAGGAGATGAAGGGGAAGGTGACTCCGTCCCACACCTTTATCTTTCTGGGGCCATCCTGTGCCCAAGCACCTCACAAAGTACGAGAGAGACTAAGGAAAATACGGTTAGGTCTCCCGCTGGAGGCCCTCACTCATGGTGTGGAGCGGGAGAAGGGGCCAAGCAGACAGCCACCCCCGGCATCAATCAGAGGACTGTGGGCATCTGGGTCGCACAGAGACGGGACCTCAGATGAGGGCAGTGCAGGGCAGGAGGGCAGGGTGGGGGCCGGCTGCTGAGCCTCAGTCTCGCCTTCTGTGGAATGGAGACATGGGCTCGCCTCCTGGGCTATGCAAAGATTAGATCAGATCACACGTGGCCAGTGGCCACTGCTGTCCCTGACACCCTCTGGCGAGGTCCGCTGCAGCTCCCTCTCCTCTTTCCTGGCAGTGCTCTGTCTCCTGCGGAGATGGCACTCAGCACCGGCGTCACGCCTGCATTGGACCCCAGACCCAGGCGCCCATGCCGGCCGCCTTCTGCCAGCACTTGCCCAAGCCGGCCACTGTGCAGAGCTGCTGGGCCGGACCCTGCACCGGGCAGGGGACTCCCAGTCCGGCACCCCACCAGGAAGCCACGGCTGCAGACCTGGCCGTTGCTGGTGCTTCTCTGGAGTGGCCCCAGCCCCGGGCCCACCTCCTCTCCCCAGCTTCCTGGCTTCAGGGGCTCCTGCCTGGGCTCCAGGAAAGCCCAGCTGAGCCCAGTTATGTTCTTCAACCTTTCTGTCTGGGCGGCCGGCTGGCTGCAGGAGGGGTGGGCAGAGGCATCTGCACTGGGAGAGCTGGGGCCGGCTCCTCACGGCATCCCTGTGGGGTGATCGCTGGGAGGCGTGCAGACAGACCAAAGGCACGGGCTTGGGCGGTGGCGCTCAGGGCCGGCCCTCCTCTGCTACTTTGCTTCCACTAGCAGAGCTCAAGCTCACTTTCGTTATCATCAAGGGAAAGGAAACCTGAGGTTTCGTGGAGTCCGACCCAGGTCTATGGGACTCCAAGCCATACCCTGCTGTATTCACCGCTTCCCTCTCACCAGGGCATCCGGAAGCGGCTCGGGCCCCGGATGGAGACACCGGGACCCATGCAGCTTCCTCCCCTGCCCGAAGCCTGCTTCTGGCGGGGCCCAGGAGGATGCCAGCCCACCACCTGCCAGGCTCCTCCCCAGCACGGAACCCCCCCCCCGCCCTGCTGGGGGTGTCCGCCGCCCGGAAGTCCTGTTCACCCGTGCTCCTGCCCTCTTTCCAGGCGCCTGCGGCCAGCAGCACCTTGAGCCCACAGGAACCATTGACATGCGAGGCCCAGGGCAGACTGACTGTGCCGTGGCCATTGGGCGGCCGCTGGGTGAGGTGGTGACCCTTCAGGTCCTGGAGAGCTCCCTCAGCTGCAGGGCTGGTAGGTCTCGGGCCATGTGCACAGCTTCTGCCCAGCATCAGGCCGCTGTGCGCTGGGGAGCACAACTCCCGGCTACCCCTGTCCCGGCACGATGTGCCACAGGCAACCCCACCTGGAATCCTCATGGCCATCGTGGACGGGCGCAGGCTGGTCCTGTTGCACAGATGGGGAAACTGAGGTTGTGTCTGGGGACTTGGAGTCACGTAGCCGGGACATGGGAGGGACCCGATCGTGGCTCCATCTACCCCAGGCCCCCGTGCTGCTGATGCTCACCGCACGGCCCCTTCCTAGGGGACATGCTGCTGCTTTGGGACAGGTTCACATGGAGGAAGATGTGCGGGAAGCTGTCTGGCTCGACCTTCAGCTCCAAAACGAACACGCTGGTGGTGAGGCAGCGCCGCACACAGCCTGAAGGTGGGGTTGTGCTGCGGTACGGGAGCCGGCCTGCCTCCGGAACCCCCCACAGAGGTACGGGGCGCCAGAGCCTTCCCCCCATCTCTGCAGGGCAGCCGGGTGGGCAGACAGGGCACCCATGGAGATGGAGGATCCCCCACTGGCTCCCTGACCCCAGGATGAGGTCCTGGCACGTGGACATGTGTGCCGTGTCCCTTGCTCCCTGGGGCCTTGCAGCGACAGGGGTGGACGTGGACCCTGACATCCTCACCCTGTCGCTCAGGCCACCACCATGGACCCCCAACCTGGCCCTGATGTCCTTCAAGACCTTTAGAGTCCTCTGTGCGCAGCTTTCCCTCCCCCCTGAGCCCTGTTCTGGTGCACCATGCTCTTGGCTCAGCCCCTGCAGAACTCTGTGTGCACGCCTGCTTATACGTGTGTGTGTGCACACACAACTTCACGGAGGGGATGGCATCCCACGGCCCCCCTGGTGTCCTCCCTGCTGTCCCACGGCCCTCTGGAGGCCCCTGGGGACTTGCTGTCCCCCAACAGCCCAGGCTGACTGAATGTGGCTTCCCTAGCCAATTCCAGAGGTTTCTGGGATCCCCCTGGCTTTGCCTCTACAGAGACGTGATGCTGTCCCCGATCTCTCGGTGCCCTCACTGAGAGCACAGGCTGGCCGCCCCTTCTCACTGCTCTCCACTACCTGGTCTTTTGCACGTGGGCTTTTGCTCCCTGGGGGCCAGGGGGTACAGGCAGGCGGGGCTCCCGTGGGCTCCTAATAATGGCAGTGGCCTTTGTGACAGGTTCAATGTTAAGCACTTTTGCACGCGTGACTTGAGTCCTAAAAACCACTCTCCTGGCACCTGCCCTTGTTAGCTTCACTCTACAGAGGGGGATCTGGAGCTCAGAGCACTGAAAGCCTTCGCCTAGGGTCACACAACAGAGTGTGGTGGAGGTGGGGTTCAGTGGCGGCTTCTGTGTGGGAGACCTGATCTTGAGAACACCACCATATTGCCCCCCTTCACTGCTCCCCAGCTGTAAGCTACCCTGGCCTCCGGCATTGGTGGTCTTTCTGGGGGCTCCTAGGACCCGAGATGGTCCCCACCCGCCCATCCACCTGCTCTTTTCTGCAGACTGTGACGTGCAGCGCTTTGGACCCTCGGGTGAAATCGTGAGCCCCTCGAAGAGTCCTGATGGGAGTAACTCGGGGGGCTGCCGCATCTTCATTAACGTGGCCCCGCAGGCCCGGATTGCCATCCATGCCCTGACCACTGACGTGGGCTCGGGAACTGGAGCCAGCTACATCTCCGTAAGGCCACCAGGATGGGGACAGGAATGGGGCTGAATTTCGCTGACTCGAGATAGCTGTCCCTGGGGATGGGAACCGGGGGTGCTGTACTAGAGGACCCCCCGACTTTGCTCAAAAACCTGAAAATCATTAGTGAAAGAATAGGAGAGAAGAATTTCCTCCACTTACTCACCAACAAACGTTATTGAGCTCTGCGCAAGAGTGAAACACAGACCTTTTCTGACGTAGACTGTTAACCCAGGCCTGAAGCATAATTTTAGACCCTGTTACAACTTTTCCAGAAGAGGCCAGTCCCTCCCCGCACGCAGTTCATGTGTTCCGAGAGAACTGTCCTCTGCAAGGTGTCAGCTCCCCCAGTGCATGCAGCCTGGCTTCTGGAATCCAGCTCTAGCACCCTGGCTGTGTGTCCTTGGGGAAGTAGCACAACTTTTGAACCTCAGTTTCTGGGGTGGAGCAATAGTGTCTTCCTGATAGGGCTGTTGTGTGAAGATTAAATGTGACCCTGAGTGTATGATGCCGTGTAGGAATGTGAGCTAGTTATCATTGTGGCTGGCCCTTTCCCCTCAGATCCGGGACACCCACAGCCTGAAGACGATGACATTCCGTGGGCAGCGGGCACTCTACTGGGAGTCAGAGGGAAGCCAGGCTGAGATGGAGTTTAGCCAGGGCTTCCTGGAGGCGCATGCCAGCCTGCGGGGCTGGTACTGGACCCTCCAATCTAGGGTGCAGGAGCCTGGCCGGGCCGCGCTCTAGCTTCCTCTCCAAGGACATTTCTCCAGGGACCTGTGGGCGCAGTGGGATGCCTCCTCCATGTCCTGGAAGAGACAGGAAGGAGGCTGACATTTATGAGCACCTGTTCGGTGCCCGGCGAACCGGAGGGTTGACTCTGGTCTCTGAGTGCTTTCCAGTTTGGATCCCTCCGATCTTAAGTATCTCCTTCAGGGCCTTGGGAAGCAGGGACTGGACTCCCTGAAAAGGCCTCTCTGTACCAATAAACGGAATGTGCAGTCCGAGAAGCGCTTACTTCATACCCTGTCCCATCCAGCTTGAAAACCCACCCTACGGCGTTGCCGAGATTCCTGGCGGCGGTCGGGTCCAGACCCATTCTTGACCTGAGCAAGTCCCATGCCACCCCTAGAGGTCTTTTCTGCTGCCCAGGGAGGACGACAAGGGACTGTGTGGACTCAAGAATGGGCCCGACCCTGGCGCACCTGTTAATTCTCTGCGAAGTCCCGCCCGGTGCTAGTCCCGCCGGGAGGATCTGACCGCGGAGAGTGCGGGGGCCACCGCGCCCCGCCCCCTATGCTAATGAGCGCGAGCCCCTGGGGCTCCCCTCGCCCCCGCCCTGCGAGCACCGCCCCCTATGCTAATGAGCGGCCGCCTCTCCCACAAGGCAGCGCGCCGGGCCGACGCGGCCGGCTCCGGAGCCCTTTGTGAGGGCGGCGGACGACGCCAGACGGCGGCACCATGAGCGGCTCGGGCGGGGCGGCGGCGGCGGCCGTCAGCTCCGCGCCGCCGGCGCAGGACGAGGGCATGACGTGGTGGTACCGCTGGCTGTGTCGCCTGTCGGGGGTGCTGGGGGCCGTCTGTGAGTACCCGGCCCGGGGGAGGGGCCGGGAGGGGCCGGCCCCGCCGCCCACCGCGCATGCGTGTCCGGCCCCGCCCCTCTGGCGCGCCTCCGCGGGGGGCGGGCTGGGTGGGCGTGGGGGGAGGCTCTGCGGGCGCGCGCGGGGAAGGACGCCGGGCGGTTGCTATGGTTACCGGCCGGGCAACCCGCGGCCGGGCGGCTCCGGGGAGGTTTCGGGAGCGAAAGTGCGCTCCCGCGGCCGAGTCGCCGCCCCCCCGCCGCGTCGCAGCGCGAGGACCCGCGGCCTCTGCCCCGGGGGGCGGCTCGCGGGGCGCCGGCCCAGCCCGGCCCGGACGCAGCCTCACCTGTTGACTTGGGCGTGGGTGTGGGTGGGGGCGGCCGCGGTCTTCCCCTTCGGGCGAGGGTTGTTGATACGTGGGGCGGATGGTGCCAGGGGACAAGCGGTCCCCGAGGGAGGCCCGGCACTGAGCCGAGGGGACGCGGCCTCTCCTCTGGTGCTCCCTGTCCATCCGGAGGCCGGCGCGTGCCTCCCGCGTCCCCCCAGCGCCATCCCCGGCGCACGCCCCGACAGGCGAACAGGAAGGCAGACTGCTACAGAAGTGAAATAAAGATCCTGCGGCGGGTCTTCGAGCGCGGATGCGCGTCCAGTGTTTGAACGTCGGCTCTCCTCTCCCCTGCCTGCGGCCCTCGCTTTGGGGATTGCTGGAGGAGCGGGCACCTTCCCCGGGCTGGAACCAGTGCCCGCCTGGCACCGCGGGCTGGGGCAGGGCAGATCCTGATCGAGTCTGCCAGTAGGAACACCTTTCAGGGTCCCCTTCCAGCCCCACAGCCCTGCAGGGTGGGTGCATGCTTGAAGGAGGTTCAGGAGTGCCGGGGTGGGAGCGCACCGCCCCGGCAGGGCAGGCCCTCGTCCGGAGGCGTCCCCGTCACCGCTGGGGGAGCAAGCATGTTTCTGACTCGGGAGGAGGGACTGGTGGCTGGAGGTCAGGCCCTAGATTAGATGCTTGCACCCTGGTATCCCATGCAGTTCTGGGTCTCAGAGTGGAGTACTTGGGCTGTCCCCGGACTTCATGGTGTGGACTTCATGGTGTCGAGGCTACAGATTAAGCGCCAGGAGAAGCTAGTGGCTTTGAAATGTCAGTTTCACCTGAAGATGGGGGGCGGAGGGGGTCGTTATGCAAATACCAAACAGTCCGCCCCAGGGTACAACACAAAGCATGCAGGAGTTTTAGGGATGGGGGGCGCCTGGCCCACCCCGTGGGTGGCTGTGTGAGTCTTGATCTTGGGGTTGTGAGTTCAAGACCCACATTGGGCGTGGACGTTACTGAAAAATAAAATATTAAGAAAAAAAAAGGCTCAAGGATGAAACAGGAATTCTGGTTGGTCACTTCAGGGTAGGGTTGCCGTCCTGGCTGGTGGGAGCCTCAGAGGGGCATTTATGCAGGGTCCCCGACAGTCCTGTAGAGGCTGTAGGCTGGGAGGAAAGAGGATGGTACAGGATGCCTCCCGCACTTAGCCAACCCCAGGAGCATCTTCCAGCCTTGATTGTTATGGGGCTCCTGGCTGGAGCCTTTCTGTCCGGGTTGAAACCTGGTTCTCCCCCAAGGCTGGCTGTTGGTAGGACGGCAGGGGGAGGGTTGGAGCTGGAGGGGAACTGCTGGCTGCCGCAGGTGTAGACCGCTGTCACAGGAGCCCAGGCAGAGCCGAGAGCCGGGCAGAAGCAGTACTGTGTTGTGGGCACTCCCGTCCACGGCTCTGGTGGGGGGCCTTGCTGCCTGAAAGCCTATGTGCTATGTCCAAGGGGAATGTCTCCTTTTTAGAAGGCAGAACGCGCCTCTGTCCTTTCAGGAGACCTTGGGGACACACAGGGCAGCCCCTCTGCAGTTCGGGCTCATGGACACACAGGCAACCCCTCTGCAGGTCGGGCTCACGGACACACAGGGCAGCCCCTCTGCAGGTCGGGCTCACGGACACACAGGGCAGCCCCTCTGCAGGTCGGGCTCACGGACACACAGGGCAGCCCCTCTGCAGGTCAGACTCACTTCCTCTGGTATCCCCACCGCCCCCGCCTGCGTAGGGTCACAAGGGAAAACAACAGGAGAATTCCAGTCCCAGCCGGGATCAGGTACCCAACCCCGGGAGCTGGTTGTTAATTGCTGCTTCCGGGCCCAGCTCCAGCCCCACCCCAGCGAGGGCCTGGGCTAGATGCCTGGCTGGGAGCCAGGGCCCCGGAAGTGCCTAGCTGGCTCCGGGGAGTTCCGGGAGAAGCGGGCCCAGAGGCGGCTGCTGTGTCTGGTGTGTGCGGAGGCCGAGGCGGGTGTAGCACACCCTGCCCGTGGGTGTGGTCGGGAGCGCAGGGCCAGGCTCCACATTTGGGGCATCAGGACCTGGTGTTGCAGGGGTGGGTGGGCCGGGCTGTGGCCCATCCTGTGTGCAGGAGAGCAAACAGGCCTAAAACAGGGACGAGAACATCCTCGGCCGGTGTGTCGGTCACAGCACGCCGCACACACACACAGCACGCCGGGTCTCCCTGATCCCGATCTCTGCTCCAAGAGAGGCAGCCCTTGTCCCAGCCAAAATCCAAGCCACGTTTCCTGCGTCAGGCTTCTTGTGTGGCCGACCCAGCGGATGGTGGCGCCTGCCTGGTCGGAGCCCTCCAGACTCTGGTCTCTTCGTCCGTCCTCTGTACCTTGTGGTGGGTGTGGGTACGACTGGGGTTCAGAGGCCCCCCCAGCCGTGGACAGGACAGAGGGTGAGGTGCCCTCCAAGCCAGCCAGCTGCACCCTTGCTGTGCGGCCTGGTGCCAGCTGCTTCGGCTCTCTGAGCCACAGCCTCACCAGACGCCCAGCGGTTCCATTGGTCTCACTTGTCTCAGATGGCAGAGGGCAGACTTGGAGGTGCTCTCGGGGGAGGCAAGCGTGGGGTGTCAGAAGGAGTCTGCTGGGGGTCCTTCCCGGCAGGCTCTGTCCCTTCCTCCCTGCTGATTCCTGCTCCTGTCTCGCTTCCAAGCTTGCGCCATCTCTGGCCTCTTCAACTGCGTCACCATCCGCCCTCTGAACATTGCGGCCGGCGTGTGGATGATGTGAGTGGCCGGTGGGGCTGGGGGCATGTGGGTTCTGGCCGCTGTGCAGGCCTTCACCTCCTCCATACCCTGCCACGTTCTGTTTTCCTGATTCTCTGTAGGGCCAGGCCAGGGGCACACCCACCCAGGCACCTACTGGGTTTAGGACTGGGGTCACCAATGTGTTCTGAGTGTTCACTGAGCCAGACTGTGCCGGCTCCATGTCTACTCCCCTGGGCCTGGCCTCTGGGAGCTCTGGGGGTCCTCAGGGCTGGTCTAGTTGGAAGCTTGGCATCCAGTGGGTTTGGAGCCTGGTGCTGGGATCAGGAGCCCCAGTACAGGGTGGGCAAGCCACGGCCAGGGCAGGATTAGAGCGCGCGCGGAATCAGGCGGTCAGAGCGTCCTGGATGAATTCTCTGCCCACCTCCTGCCAGGGTAGCTCCATCCCGGGGGAGGGGAAGGCAGGGGTGACATGGCCAGTGCAGCTTTGGCCACATCTAAGCCACCCAGTGCATGTGAAAGGTGGCTGTGCCCCAAGTGTGGCCTGTGCCCAGGTGAAACCTGGCGGGGAGGGGCACGGAGGTGGACAGGTTGGGGCCCTGCCCTCAGAGAACTCAGGGCGGGGCGGAGGCTGGCTGGGGTGGGACCCAGAGACGCATGGGGGACGTGGGGGTCAGGGCGCTGGCCCGAGGCTTCAGTGGGCAGAGTCCAGAGGTCGGCTGGCCTGGCTGGGGAAGGGCTGGGTGGACGGGGCTGGAGGGGAGGCTGGGGAGGAGCCGGGCAGGGGGCAGGGCTGGTGTGGGGTGTGCAGAGTCCCCGCTCTGGGCTCCTCTTGGGGCACCCGCAGCTGGAGTTTCTGTCGAAGGTAGGTAATGAGGGCCCGGTGTCTGTGACTGTGCCCCCGTCACAGGGAACTCGAAGACCGGAGCAGACACCTCAGTCTGTCCCCACGGGTTAGCCATCCCGGCCTGAGCACAGGATGGCGGGGGCAGGGGGAGAGAACCCTGCCCCGCAGGGCTTGCCAGGCTTCCTCTGCCCTGGGCGGGCTTGCCGACGCTCAGCGCTCAGTGACTGTGGCCTGACTGACTCACTCCTCGCCGTCCTTGGCGGACAAGCTGCTGCTGGGGACAGCTTTCTCCGTGCTGACGGCCGTGTGGGGACAGTGGTGACGACGCTAGAAGCCGAGTGGCGGCTGGCTCTCTGCCCAGGGCTAAGCGTGGAGGGGCTCGCTGTATGCTTATGGAGGCGCTTGACACGGGGGGTCTCATCTCCTTCAAGGACAGAGGGTGAAGGGAAGACCGGACCCTGCCTCCAGAGTGCTGGCTTCGGTGAGGGGGGCTGGTGTGCGAGCGTTGGCTCAGCAGAGGCCCCGAGAGGGGGATGTGGGGGGCACGGGAAGGGTGGCATTCCGGGGCTGGGTATCGGGGACCCCCGTCCCCTCAGGCCTGTCAGCCTGCCCCCCCTTTCCCTGCCCTCCAGCATGAACGCCTTCATCCTGCTGCTCTGCGAGGCGCCCTTCTGCTGCCAGTTCGTCGAGTTCGCGAACACGGTGGCCGAGAAGGTGGACCGGCTGCGCTCCTGGCAGAAGGCTGTCTTCTACTGCGGGTGAGGGGCCCCGGGGAGGGCCGGACCGGGCCAACGCGGACCTTGAACCTAACAGGGACCCTGACACGGTTTCCCAAAACTCAAGGACCTGAAGGGCAGGCGATGGCTGGTGTCCCGTGCGGTGGGGGGTACCGTGGGTGAGGAGGAGGCTGGGAGAGCGTCGTGCAGAGCCCTCTGGTCATGGCCCGTGTGAAGTGCGACCCAGGGAGGCGGGAGCGGGCCCACCACCGCGGTGCAGACGTGGGAGGCGGGTGCCCTGTGGCGCGGCCTGCTGTGTCTGGGAAGCGAGCGGTGCCTGGGATGTTGGCCCATCGTTTGGGAGTTGTTAACTAGATTCTGGTAGGTTCACAGGATGCGTTTGTGGGCAGCCCATCGGGTGCCCTGATGGGAGAGCGGGTCGCAGAACAGAAACGGTCACCTTCCCACACGCTTTCCTTGGACTTTCCACCTTCTAACACCAGATTCTGTATGCAGCCCTGTCCACCTGAGTCATGAGGCTGAACTAATTTCAGGGTGTGCCTGCCACACAGAAGCCTCTAGAACAGTGCAGGCCCACGGGAGGCCCTCAGCAGCTTCTGGGGGCAACACCAGTAGTTACTTGGATTTAGGTTATCTTTGAAAGAAGAGCAGAGATGTTTATTCTAGAGGTTTCTTCCCTTTGTGAAAGCCAGTGGTGTTTTGTTTTTTTTTTTTTTTTTAATCTTTTAAAAGATTTTATTTACTCACTTGACGGAGAGAGAGAGAGAACGTAGAAGCAGGGGCGGCAGGAGAGGGAGAAGCAGGCTCCCCCCCGAGCACAGAGCCTGACTCGGTGCTCGATCCCAGGACCCTGGGATCATGAAGGCAGAGGCCTGACTGAGTACCAGACACGCATTCCTTCGTGCTAGAGCCCTTCCCACCGGGTCTCCACCACAGAGGAACGCGGGGTCTCAGTGCTGTCTGCCATCATGTCCTTTGCCTCGGTCTTTATTTTTAAGAGAAATATTAAAAAAATACGAACAGCAACCTCTGTTCGTTACAAATGACTTGGAACATATTGGAGCCCCCTGCTTGGAACCCTTCGGTAAGCTTCCGTCTGCTCCTCTGCAGGCGGCTTCTAAACCTGTTTCTGCCGTGGTTGTAACCGTTCTAAGTAAATCTGTGTCCTCAGGATCACCACGAAGACCTTATGACGTTACTTCTAACGATGGGAGTGCTTACCGCACTGTGCACATCACGCTTTTCTTAATTGGTAAACTGGGGTCCAAATCAGATCAATCGTGGCAGCCAGCAACGCGCCAAAACCCTTCCCGTGACGCTCTTCTCGGGATGTGTTCGCAGCGCGCTTACTAGGTCAGAGGTCACAGTCACCGGAGAGGCCTCAGTACGGGACCACCTTGCTTCCCGAAGAGGTGATCAGAGTTTCTGTCCCTCCGGCCTCCCGGGGCGGGGCACCATTTTACATTTGTGTCCGTGGTCGGGGAGGTGAGATGTTTTTTCAGACGTTTTTGCTGACTGCGTTTTCTTTTTTGGAAATGGTCTAGTTTACTTTTTTACCTATTGGCATCCAAACGCTCTACTTAGAAAGTTCTACCTTTCCCGGAGGGAAGGTTTCCGGGTGCTTTGTTACACTCCTCGCAGATATTTTTCCAGCTTGTTTGCCTTTGTCTTGGCGGAAGATTGTCCCCCATGGTCTTTTCGTGTGTGTGTCGTTTCTCCTTTTCTTCTGTTACTTCGGGGTTTTATGACCACGGCAAAACCTCACCATCACTTATCCCTCCTGAAAGCGTCAAGTGGAATTCAGCGGGCGGCCCAGTCTTACCTTCTCTGTGTACAGGGTGCCCCTGGGCAGGGGAGGCCTCTGGGCACAGCCTGGCCCAGGGAAGCCCAGGACAGAAAGCTGGCCCTCCAGGCACAGTGTCTTCCTGGCCTGGCTAAGCTTGGCCGCCGCCCTGGTTCGGGAGTCCCAGCCAGCACCTAGACTCAGCCCCGTGGCTGCCGCAGCCAGAGCGCACACCAGACGGAGGTCTGGACCAGACGGAGCTGGGGCTGCCCCCACTGGGAACCAGGAAACCCCATGCCTTGTGCACTTGCAGCTTTGGGTTCTGTCCTGGGGTATGTGGCTGTTTTACCGCAGTACAGCGAGCTGCCGTGTGTTCGGTGCTGACGCTGTTCCGGGCATCATGTCCTTAACATGGGAGGAGTTCAGGAACTTGCCGAGTGGGAAGCCGCTAGGGGCTGGACTGACCTGAGATTTTCTGGTCGGCCTGTTTTCTGGACAGGGAGAGGGACTCTCCCAGGGCTGTTTCGCCCTTTGTGTACCACAGACCCTTTGAACGATCTGACGAAGGCTTTACGTCCTCTCCCCAGAAAGTACACAGGATTCCGCAGACAAGTGCACGTGTGTCTTAAGGGCTTTCCGAAGCCTGGCCGTGAACTAGTGTCGGGACTGATTTCCAGGGACCCTTCCCAGCCCTGGTGTCCGGGAAGGGGTCTGGAAGCGGTGAGGCAGCCACAGGGCAGGAGCACCTCCTTGACCCGTCTCTCTCGTAGGATGGCCATCGTTCCCATCGTCATCAGCCTGACCCTGACCACGCTGCTGGGCAACGCCATCGCGTTTGCCACTGGAGTGCTGTACGGACTCTCCGCTCTGGGCAAAAAGTGCGTGCGCCTCTCCCGGCCCCCGGGAGGAATCTTGACATCCTGCCTCCGGAAGGCTCTCAGGGAGGATGGTCCGAGTGGGGCCCCTGTTATCCCTTTGCGGAAACTGAGGCACAGAGGTTGTCAGCGACACTTGTCAGCGTACCCAGGGTGTTCAGCTCTAGGAAATGAGAGTGGGAGGGTTCATGGGCTTCCGGTGGCCTGGCTGTGCCTCGCCTCAGCCGACAGCGGGGATGGCAGGTCTGTGGCTTGGGAGAACCTGTGTCACTCTTAGAGGGGACGTGCCTGCCCTCCTAGCAGCAGGGTCTCTGGGGAAAGCAGAGCCCAGTAGCGTGTCCCTGCAGGTCGTGCCTTGGTCACAGGCTAGGGATCTGGTGGTGGCAGGGAGGGCTGTGTGCCTGGTGTCATTCCCCTCTGTGATGCTGACTCGTTCTCTCCCCAGGGGCGATGCGATCTCCTATGCCAGGATCCAGCAGCAGAAGCAGCAGGTGGACGAGGAGAAGCTCACGGACACCCTGGAGGGGGAGCTGTAATGTGAGCTCCCTGCTCGCCCCTCTGGTTCAGTGCAGACATGTCCTGCAGGGATGAGGCCTGGAGCATTGACCCTGAAGGACAGCCTAGAAGAGGAGCCTTTGGCTCCCACCAGCCCCCCTACACCTGTCCCTACACCTGGAGTCCTCTTCTGTCTTCTCCTTCCTCTAGCTTGGTGTCTCCCGGCCCTGGGCCTCGGCCCGCAGCAGGAAGACTGGCGGTGACAGCGGGCAGCCTCGACGGTGACCCAGGCCGTAGGGCTGGAGGCAGGGCGGGGCCTGCCTGGTCCCACTCCTCGCAGCTGGCCCGGCTCAGCTGGAAACAGGCTGCCGTGTGCATTTCCGGACTGCCACCGCCAGCGGAGTCCCCGGGACCTGCTGAAGGCTTGGGCGGGGCTTCCCCCACAGATGCTGGGCCTGTGCCGAGCGGGGAGGCATGTCACCCTGGGCCCGGGCATTGGGCAGAGTGAGCCTCCACTTGGCTCTCCAGGCAAGAAAGTATCTTGTAGGCTGAGCCGCCTGGGCCCCCTCTGTCTACCTGTCATCGGGACAGCGGTGCCCTGTGGCCCATGGTCTCCTCCTACCACTGCCCAGGCTCCGCCCCGCCTCTCTGGTCTCAGTGGGAGCCCACAGCACTCCTGAGATGCTTCCTGAGTATCCAGAACAGCCATGTTGGCAGTGGCTGGACAGCTAGGGACTGCTCCCTCCCCCAGTTCCCTAGAAGCTTGCACAAGCCATTCCAGCATACTTCTGGGTCCTGGCCGGGACCTCCAGGTTCTCCCTCCAACCCGCAAGGCCCTGGTGCTGAGGAATCGGGGAGGGCAGGCTCTTCTTTGTCCCGTGGGCCTATTTGTCCATCTTTCTGGTGTGGTCCTGCCACGTTAGCCGTGGCCCAACTGAGTTAGTAGGGCTAAGCTCAACCCATCAATATTGCTGCTGGCCTACCCCCTAACCCTGCCTTTGGGGAGTTTCTTGCCTTTGAGAGCTGGGCAGAGGCCGGAGTTGCCTCCACCACCATGAGCTGTGCCCAGGCCACCTGGGAGCAAGGCCTGTGTGGATGGTGCGAGGAGGCGGCCCTGCCTGGGCTGTGCGCCATCCCCCCTGGCCTCCCTCCATGCCAGCATTCCTGTGTCCCCTGCGTGTGTCCACCTCAGCCCATGGATGGCTCCGCTCAAGGGACCAGCCCCCAGCTGCTAGGCCTGTCCGATGGGGCCTGGCCAAGCCTGCGCGGCACTGGGCACAGATGGGTTGGTGTGGAAAAGGTCTAGCTCTGCTCTTCCTTCTCCCAGGACCCTGGCTGTGCCAGCTCCCAGCCCTGAGCTCAGCCCCAGCCTTGCTTTGTTGAAAGCAGCCCTAGGGCTGTGTCCAAATCCTTGCTTCCCGGAGAGAGCTCCCCTCTGGCGGGGGGTGCTCGTCAGTGTTGGACAGCGGGAGGGACACGTCACAGGGCTTCTGCTCAGCAGCGGCCCCCAGCAGCCTTCCAGAGAGCCCACCAGGCTGAGCCCCAGGGCACGGCAGCGGCCGGCCTGGTGGGACACGTGCCTTCAGGGGTCCCCTGGGACCACCTTTCTCAAGCAAGGGCTGGGTTCAAAGGGCTATGGGTTCTATACTCCAGGCGGGTGGGGGTGTCGCGTGCGTGTGTTCTGTGTGTGCTACAAGACCTGTCTACCTCCCGAGAGGAGCAAGGGCCCTGCCGGCCCCTCTTGGCTCATTCTTACCGAGGCAGTGGGATGGGGGGGCCACTTCTGCCCAGCCCTCCTGACCCCGCTGCAGGGGCCTTGCGGGCAGGGGCTTCCTTCTGCAGGGGAGAGGCTGGCTGTGTCCAGGAAGGCTGCACCTCTACCCCACTTCCACCCCATCAGGTCGGGTGGGCTCTAGAGGCAGGCGCAGACCCTCCAGCCCGAGTCATTGGCCAGGCTGGACCCGTCATGTGCCCGGGGTTCCCAGCGAGCCCGGCAAAGCAGTCCCGGAGCAGTGACCCCGTCCCTCAGTGTGGGGTGCCACCTTGCAAGGAACATCCATCCGGGTGGCAGAAGGGGCCAGGCCGCCTGGTTCTGTTCCCACCTCCACGGGTCTGGACTCTGTCATCTCGGGGTCCTTGTTTTCTCGCAGTGTGTAGCTTGCGTTTTGAGCAATAAAGCTTGGTGTAGTCCGTACCCTCGCTCGTGCGATCCGCCTGTTCCTTCTCCCCCCAGGGCCGTAAGCAAGCAGTCTGGGACCGCAGGCCCTCGGAGTAACTGCCGTTTTATTGACCTTCTGTGTGGCTGGCCCTGTTCCACTCTTGTTCACAGCCTCTCCGCCGAGGAACATGGCTTGCCCAGGTCACACAGCTGGGGAGGGCTGGAGCCTGTGGGACAGAGCCGTCCTGCGGCCCGCAGAGGGGGCCTTGCTTGGGCCGGTAGTCCCTGGCAACTGTGGCTGAGGGTTTGGGACTAGCGGAACCTGGCTGCTGAGTGGGCCCCCCCATCTGCAGGAGACCCCATCCTGTGACTCCCAAGGCCAAGAGTCTGACTGACTGTGACGAAAACAGGGTGGACACAGTTTGCGGATGGGAGCCCTTAAGCCCTGTTTCCAGAGATTGGGTAGGGGCAGGAGGAAGTGTCTGTGCTGGGTCTTGGGCCCTGGCCTGTGGGAGTCCAGAATGTTCCCTGTAGCACCCACAAGCTTTTAGAACTGCAGATCTCTCTTCCTTGCCAGCATCAAGTTGCTCCATGATGACTAAGCAGATCAGAATAAAACAGTGATGTCCCTGTGTGGAGCCCTCCACTGTCTCCTGGCCCATGTCTCTGTCCTCATTACAGCCCTCCGTGGCCGCATCCTCTGCAGTAAGGAGCCCGGCCCCATGTCACCCAGCAGGGCCTTGTCCCGGTCCTTGGGCTGTGGGCTGCCCTGTAGCCCGTGGCCGCCTCCCCTGCCAGCGGGTCTTGACCGAGGGGCGTGCTGGCGGCCGGCTGCTGGAGCTGGGGCCCAGGCCGGACAGGGGAGCTGCGGCCCGGAGCCAGAACATGCACGGCGGGGGCCTGCCGCGCTTCCATCTGGGCCTCCTGTGCTGCGTCCGATGGCTGATGGCTGCTGCCTCCCCAGCTTGGTGTGCAGGCTCATGGTCAGCGCAGACGCCCACGTCTCCACCGTGGCAGGGCCCCTGAACTAGTGCAGGAAGGACCTCCTCCCGGTGCGGAAGAAGGACTCAATCTGCTCCAGAGACCGGCCCTTGGTCTCAGGCACGCAGCAGCCTGTGAACACCAGGCTGGCCACGCAGACGGTGGCAAAGAAGAAGAAAGGCACGTGCAGGCCAAAGGCGTTCTGGGGGCACAGAGGGGACGCCTGGTCACACGGGGGTTCCCGGGGCCCTCCTAGTGTTAGCCAGCCTTGGGGGGCCTTCCCCTTATTCCCCTACTCAGGGCCCTTGCGGGGCTCCTCACTGCCTCCCGTTCAGACGCAAATGCTTTAGCGTGGCCCGCCCTGCCCGGAGCTCTGGCCTCAGCCTGGGCTCAGGCACCCACCTCCCTCCCACCTGCAGGAGGCCTGGCCCCCCAGCCTGGCGGGGAGCCAAGTGCCTGCGTTTCCGCAGCCACCACACACGTCCTCCTGCCCGGCCCCAAGCCCACCAGCACCTCTCCGTGGGCGCAGTGCACACTCCATGGACTCCCCAGCCCTGCCCTGTCCTGCGGGCTACACCAGGGGAGGCCCCCGGCCCCAGCCGCCCCCGTCAGATTATCCCTTCCGAGCGCTGGGCGTGACATTCTGGTTGGCTTCAGGGCCTTCAGAGACGAGAAGGGAGTTGAGGGAAATTGGAAGGGGAGGTGAACCATGAGAGACTATGGACTCTGAAAAACAACCTGAGGGTTTGAAGGGGTGGGGGTGGGAGGTTGGGGGAACCAGGTGGTGGGTATTGGAGAGGGCACGGATTGCATGGAGCACTGGGTGTGGTACAAAAACAATGAATTCTGTTATGCTGAAAATAAATAAAAACAAAAACAAAAACAAAAAACCCAGCAGTACGGAGGATGTGGGTCGGCCAGCAGGGACCCTGCCAGGAGACCCAAACTGGCCCCCAGACATAAGGCCCTCTGGGCTCCCTCATCCCGTCTGGGAGGACCCGCGGGACACTCAGAGGACTTGGCCAGGAAGCCCGACCCCGGTACTCACCACCACCAGCAGGAAGGACTTGGTGAGGGCGAAGGCGGTGAGCCAGCTGACGAGGACGCAGAGCCCTGAGGCCACGCCGCGGGCTTGTAGCGGCAGGATCTCCGACATGAGGAGCCAGGTGATGGGCCCCCAGCCCATGGCGTATCCTGCCCACAGAGGACCAGGGGCCTGTGCTGCCTCCGCGGAGCTGCCGAGACCGGGTCCCGCCCCAGCGCCCCGCCCATGCCCCAGCAGGCCCCTCCCACTGGAGCACCAGCACCCCACCCCCCACCCCCGGCTGGCTATCCCGGGCCCTGGACCCGCAGAGTCGCTGGGTACCTACCGGTGATGAACAGCATGGTGGCCACCAGGGGCACGAGGGTGAGGTAGCTAGACGGGGTGGCCAATGGCTGCTCTGTGCCCCCCAAGGGCACGCTCTCGAGGCCCACGGTGCTGTTGGGAGTCAGAGGCTTTGGACCGAAGTGAACGTACAGCCCGAGCGTCAGGTTGGCCGCAAACATGATGGTGGCTGTGGACAGACAGGTGGCCCTCGGGGGGGCCAGGACCCTCTGAGCCGGGTGCTTCCTCTGCACAGCCCCTCAGCACTGTGCGCCCTGGGTGGGCCAGTTCTCATCCAGGCCGCCACCATGGCCTTGACCAGATGCTTCCCATAGAGCAGTGAGCTCCGCCTGCACGTCCAAGCTCACGTCATACCCGCTGTTTGCTCCCCCGAGCCCTGCAGACCTTCCTGGGGTGGCTGGTGTGTGCCGGGCCCCGTGCTGGGCACTGGCGGAGGCAGGACCCACAGGGCAGGTGTGACAACCCCACACCCCCACCCTGGAGCTCCCAGACACGGTGCCCTCTGCCTGGGCCAGCCAACGACCAGGAGCTGCGGGAGGAGGACGCGGGAGCTCACCCGAGACAAACAGCAGAACCTTGCGGCCAGCTAGGTCCATGGTAAGGGCGGCGATCAGCACGGAGAAGAGCCTCACGGCCCCCACAATGGCCGCATCGTCCTTTGGGGGCTGCAGGGAGGAAGCCACCGGCGCTGAGGGGCTCCAGCCTGCTGCTCCCATCCCACCTATCCCCCAACAAGGGGCCGCGCAGGGCACTCAGGTCCCAGGCCAAGGCCGCAGCTCCTGTGGAGCACTGAGCTGCTGAGCACACACCACGCGCCAGGCACTTCCTCTGGTCACCCAGCCTGGGCTGCAGGGCTCCTTGGCCAGGACCCAGCTGCCATGCCCACCACTGAGGCTGGGGCCTGCATGGAATCCCAGCGCCACAATGACTGTGGGACTGCACTGTCGCTGATCTCTCAATCTCCTCTCCCTCGGAGCCCAGGACCGGCAGAGGCAGGCACACCCCGTTATCTCCCTTCTACAGAGGCGGAAGCTGAGGTCTAGAGGGAAGGGACTTCCCTTGGCGAGTGGCAGATGCTCTGAAGCTGGGGTCCATGACCCCCCAGAGCTCAGCACTTCTAGACAACAGGTACCTTTGGAAGCCCAGGTATTTTAAGGCATGTGAGTTGACCTCCAAACGTTATTCTGAGAATGGGGGTGGGGCACAAACCCGGCCAGGAGACCCTGGCGGGCTCGGCACAGTGTGTGCACCCCTGACCCGCAGCAGTAGGGGACGGCCTCCTGGGTGCTGGGGCTGGGCTCTCACCAGCAGGACAGCGGTGCTTTCGAAGATGGGCTGCAGGTAGACCAGGATGGGAGTGATACCCATCAGCTGTTGCAGGAAGCGCATGAGCAAGGCGATGAGGACGGGTCGGTACATGTGGGGGCTCCGGGCCTCGGCCCATGACATGTGGGTGCTCTAGAAACAGGAAGCTGTCACTGGGCTGGGGGTGCTGGGCAAGCCCCTCCAGCAGGCACCACCCTGCCTTGTGCTGGGTGGGAGACTCCCTCCTCCCTTTCCCCAGGAAAGACTCTGTGCCCAGAGGTAGTCCAGGCCACGCACAGGCTGGGGGACCACCGCCCGAACCCCAGACTCTTGGATGAGCGGGTGGGACAAGGCAGACTTGTGCGTGCCAGGATCTCTGCATGCCCAGGCATCAGCAGCAGGGATCACGGGCTCTGGGTCAGGAACCACAATCTCTCCCCTCCCCCCAGTGCTTGGAGGGGGCGCTTCGCTTATCCCTGTTCCCTGGGAAGAAGCAGCCGAGGCTCCGAGAGGCCTTGGGACTGGCCGAGGCCCACCCTCCCACACCTGTCTGCGGACGTTGTCCTGGATCTGCTCGAACTCCCAGCGGATGTCCGTGTCGGTCCCGCGGAGCCAGGCCAGCGCCCGCAGCGCCTCCGCGTCCCTGCCCCGTGAGAGCAGGAAGCGAGGGGATTCGGGCATGAAGCTGAGCAGCAGGACCATGACGAGCACTGGCCCTTCTCCCGCCACGGCCAGCCAGCGCCACGGCAGCAGGAGGCCTGGGGATGAGGACAGGGTGAGGAGATGCGGTCCAGGCCGGACAGACTCCCCTCCTGCCGAGGCCTCCGAGCAACCCCTTCTGTTCTCAAGGGCTAGCCCCGGGGCCGCCTCCCACAGGAAGCTTACCTTGGCCCCAGGCCTTTGTGATCCAGACCAGGAGGGGCCCCAGGAATTGCTTGGCCCCGAGCACAGGGCCCAGCACATAGAAGGCGGTCCTTGGAGGGTCTCAAGGGCCATGGCAGGGTGATGGAGGGGCAGCCTTAGCAAGCAAGGCCCCAAGTTTCTATCCTAAACCCCACCCCATCTCAAACAGATGGGCTCTGATCTCTTTTCTATATGGACCCCCCCTCCCCGGTGCCCAGAGAGAGGCTGGGCATTGCCTGGAGGGACACAGCATGGGGGTGGCTAAGCCAGTATCCCATCCCCCGGCACGGGGCTTGGTTTGGGGTGTGTTCACTGCCTGTCCAACCCGGTCACCCCCCGCCCGCACACAGGAGGTGCTCAGTGCTCTTTTGGATGATACTTGCCAAGGGCGTAGAGGGACAGAGATCCGAACACTGCCATGAGCTGGGGTGTGGCCCCCAGAGCCCCACGAACACCTGGGGTAGCGATCTCAGACACGTACACCTGCAAGACACGTGGGCCCACCCCGCGCCTTTGGTGAGATCAGGCTCCCAGGCTTGGCTAGGATGGGAGAGGTGGCCCTGGTGAACCTTGGGAAGTGACAAGTGGGGTCTTCTGGTGGGACTCTTGTCCTGACGGTGACTCATGCCATTTCCCTAATGGTCCAGTGGGCGAAAGCTCACCTCTGAAACAGGTAGCTGGTGATGGGGATGTGGGAGGCCCACGGGCCCCCAGACTCAGTGCCTCCCGGGCGTCCCTGGCCCTCTGCCGGCCTGGCCCCTGACAGGGTGTGTGTGCAGCTGTGGGAGGTGTCCTAGGGAGGGAGAGACTTCCCTTTCCCCAGTTGCTCAACACAGATTTTCTTCAGTTGAGCAATGTGCCTGAGTATCGGGAAATGGAGTAGGAACTTGAAGGGGTCCAGCGTGAGGTCGGCTGGGGATGTGGGGACAGATTAGCTGTCCTGCTACAGGGAAGCTGAGGTTTCCTGGCAAACAAATCCCCACTGCCCAGGGGGGTCGGGGGTGGGGGGTGGCCGGGAGACTGCATCGCCGTGCTCGGCACAGTGCTGAGGCAGTGAGAGGACAGGGGTGGGCAGTCCTGGCCTTACCGGGATGCAAGCAGCTGTGAGCCCCCCAGCAAAGCCTGTCAGCGTCCTCCCCAGCAGCAGCATCCAGAAGCCGTGGGCACCTGCCATGAGCGCGTAGCCGGCTGCCGATGGCACAGCTGAGAACATGATGCTGAGCTTCCGGCCCAGGAGGTCGTTGAGGACCATGGCGCTGAGGCCTCCAGCCGCTGCACCCAAGGTGAATACGGACTGTAGGAAAGGGGAGCAAGGCAGACACGTGTGGGCATCCAACACTCCAACCCCCCATCGGAGCCTAGGGGCAGCTGCTTTTCCAGGCTGATCATGAGGTAGTAAGCCTCCTGTCCCCAGAGGTGTGCAAACATCATGTGCACAGCCATTTGTTAGCAATGCCACCGTGGGGAGTCCTGTTCTGGGGAGTATGTGGGGCCACTTGTCCACAGTGGTTCAGCTCAGCCGAACGTTTAAATGTCTAATATTATTATGGCAGATGGAAGAATTCTGTGACCTGAAGCTCCCGGCATTTTCAGATTTGGGGGTTCTTGGATTCTTTGTACAGTGTAGTGAGTAGGATCCAGCCACTGACTTGGGCACGTTGCTCAGCCTCCCCAAGCCTCAGTTTCTTTATGGGGACACCAGGAAGAGCCCCCTCATAGGGCTGGCCCTGGAGTCAACCCACTCTCACGGACGGTGCCCAGCAGCACACTCCTGGCACACGCCGAGCGCTCAGCACACACTAGGTATCATCGTGGCTGCTCTGTTGGGATTGTAAATCGGAAGCTACGGAGATGGTCCTTCCAGCATCCCGGACTCTCAGGGCCCCTGCTCGTCCCTCCCACGTGCCCACACTCAGTCCTGGGGGCCTCCTTGCCCCAGCCAGTGCCTCTTCCCATTGGCATCTGATGCCCCTGCCTCCCATCATCCAGAGAGGTACCTGCTCTGCTGTGGCAGCCCGGCAGGGCTGTGGCTGTGGGGGGTCTGGGGCAGGGGAAGACCTGGTAGGCCATCTCTTCGCTGTCTCCTTCCCACCCTTCTTAGCGACTACTTCCTCCTCCTGTTTCAGAGCAATCTTCTGCCCTCGCTCACCCACTGCCCCTCCCACAACCTGGCGAGGATGGGGGAGGGGGAAGGCCAGGGCCCTACAAGGGGACCCGAGCTTAGTGGGTCCCCACTCACCCCGCCCTGCCCGTCTCCAGCTCCGAGCATGGCTCTTACCCCAAACCAAGATGCCTGGGTTTTGGTCAGGATCAGGTCCGGGTCCGAGGAGTGCTCCAGGGCCGGGATGACAGGGGACGTGTAGACCAGGGCGTACCCGAAGCTGAAATTGCCCAGCACCGCGGCAAAGGTGGCCAGGAACACCCTCCTGTTCTGTGGGGCCCTGGTGGGTGGGGGCGGGCAGAGCGATGAGGTCTCGGAGTTCCTCCTCCCCCCGCGGCCGAAAGGCTACGTACGGGGTCCTGGGCCCAGGGGCTGCCGGCTCAGCCCCGGACGGCCGCACGACCCCGGCTCGGCCGAGGGCTCCTGGAGCGTGAGCGTCCGCTCGCTGGGAGAATCCCCAGGGAGGCCCCCGTGGACCCCCGCCCCGAGGCCGAGACGCGGGCGAAGGAGCGCCGCTCTCCCGCGAGGACCTCGCCCCCGCAGCCCCCGCAGCGCGCCGTGACCTTAGGCAAGCGCGCCCCTTGCCCTCTCGGGCCTTCCCTCCCCCTCTGCGCCGGTCGGGGCTGGGCCTGCGCCGGGCGGCGAGCGGCTCCGTACACAGGACTAGGGTGTCCGGGGCGGGGGGCAGACGGGCCCTCGCGGGACAGCGGCGGAAGGTCAGAGGAGGCCCCGGGCGGAAGCCGGCCCCCGCCCGCAGCCCCCTGCCCCGCGCCTCTCACCCGCCCCGCGTCCTCTCCCCCGGCGACGGGGACGACTTCTCGGGGAAGGTGTCATAGTCCGGGCCCTCGGCCCCCAGCAGCGGCTCCTGCATGGCCGCCCCCGCTCGCAGGGTCCGTGGGCAGCTCGGCCCGGGAGACGCTCGGTCCGCTCGCAGGGTCCGTGGGCAGCTCGGCCCGGGAGACGCTCGGGGCAGCCGCGGCTCGGAGCATCCGGCTGGGGCTGGAGCTCCGCCCCTCGGCCGCGATTGGCTGCGAGGCGGCCCTGCGGCGCCGGCGCCGACCAATGGGGCCGCCGCGAGCCGTGCGGATGCTCGGATGCGGGCGCGGCGCAGGGGCGGGGGCGGCCGGCGTGCGGGGCTCGGCGGGGCTTTCCCGGGGCGCGGGCTGGGGGCGGGGCTCTGGCTAGGGTGCGGGGCTCGGCCCGGCTTTCCAGGGGCAAGGGCTGGGGCAGAGGGTGCGGGGCTTTCCTGGGGTGTGGGCCCGGGGCTGGGTGCGGGGCTCGGCGGGGCTTTCCCGGGACGCGGGCCCGGGGGCGGAGCGCGGACAGTCTTGCCCGGGGCACGGGCTGCTGGGAGGGGGACCGACAGGGTGCCTGCTCCGCGGGGCTTTATTGAGGCGCCGACCACGGGGCGGGGCCAGGTTTTAAACGGGCGTGCCCTGCACCTCGTGGGCCACTGGGGACCCCTGGGCTGGCCCTTCAGATGGGAACCCCCCTGCGGGCTCACGTCTGGCCAGCCCATGTCTGGGTCCAGCGGGATACCAGCACTCGGCCTCGGACTGCGGCCCACCCCAGGCCCAGCCCCTATAGACCGGAGGAAACAGGGCCAGAGAGGCCAAGCGACTCCCCAAGGTCACACGGAGAACACGTGTCTCCCTCCGAAAGAAGGCCATGAGCTCTGCCTTCTGGACTCCCTCCCTGCTACATCGGATGCCCCAGTCACCGCCAGCCCTGCCCCCTCCCCTCCAGGGGTGAAGCGAAATCAGGCTGAGGAGGGCGCGTGGCAGCGTCCGGCATCCCGCGCCGCGGTCCTGGCCCTGCGGGGTGAGGGTTGCGGTGTGGAGGTGGTCCCAGTGGCACAGATTTGTATTTCCCCCATTTCTGGTCCTCTTTGGTTGCAGAAATAAGCTGGGCTTGTTGAGACTCGTCAGCAACAAGATACAATTAAAAAACAAGAAAAGTGGAAACTGACGTTCCCTGGAGGCTCACCCTGGAACCGTAACGTGGCGTGCGAGTGCCCGCCCTCCCCGTGGACCTTCCCAGAGACCGGCTGGCTCCCACCCTGTTCCGCACGGAAGTGTCACATGTGGGTTTTCTTAACTGATCCTCTGTTGTTGAGCATTTGGGTTATTTCCAAATTTTAGCTAATGAAACAGTAAATCTTTTTTAAAATATTTTTTAATTTTAAAAAAGATTGTATTTATTTGAGAGAGAAAGAGAGGGAGTGGGTGCGAGAGCAAGGGTGGGACAGAAGCAGAGGGCGAATCCCAAGCAGACGCCACGCTGAGTACAGGACTCGGTCCCACAACCCTGAGATCAGACCGGAGCCAAAGTCAGGAGTGGGTCGCCCAACCGGAGTCACCCAGGTGCCCCCAGTAAATTGTTTTTAAAAGGTATCCTGTAATTCCCTTTTGCTACCAAAATACAACTAGTAGAACGATGGAGAAAGGCTTGGGAAAGCCACATCCATCACCCGTCTGGTGCTCCAGGCCTCCTTGCTACGTGGGTCCGTTCTGCGTATTTTCCCGTTGTGTGCGTGTGTGCACTAGTGTGAGATCACTTACAGCACATGTCAGCGTTTTCCTGCTGTAAAGGACCTGGGCTTTGGATCCAGGCAGAGCCAATAAACGGAGCCTCCTCTTGCTGACTCGGAACAAGATGTGTCACCATGTTTTATGCATTGTGACGTAACGGGGTTTGCTCAGCAATCGCCTTCATGGGCATTAAGGCTATCTCACACGTTTGCTTTTAAAATCAGTGATCATCTTTGTCCTTAAAGGATGATTTCCTTCCCAAGGATGTTTGTCTAATCTTCAGGCCTCTTTTAACCACCGCCCCCTACACCCTGCCCCCCCCACCCCCATGGGCTTTCTCTCCTGACACCTGGGTCTATCCCAGATGGGCTGCTTGGGGACCCAGGCTCTGGAGCAGCGTGGGGCTCTCCTCCTCTTCCCTGCCCATCCGGTACCTGGCCTGGCAGATGAACACAGCCGTGCCAGGAGGCCCCTGGCCGATCTGAATTCAGAGCCCTCCCCTCTCCATTAGTCTGGGCTCAGTGAAGTCTGGGCTCAGAAGCAGAGGAAAGCACTGGTCTGGGCATCCTGCACCTGGATCTGCTTCCCATCTCTGGCCTGGACACACCCACAGCAGGGGCTGGGTCCCTCGTTTCCCCGCCCTCGAGCTCCAATCCCTCCCCGAGGGAGGCCCCAAGCAGTGTGGGTTCTTGACAGGAAGGGCCCCTAGGTGATCTGCCCAAGCTGCCACTGGTCTGGGCCTGCCTTGGGGAACACGGCAGCTCCGTGCATGGGAGACCACCCTGGTCAGAAGGTAAATTCCCGCAGAGCGGCCAGGGTTAGGCAGGTGCTGGGCAAAGACTACCCCAGGCCCCCCGGGCTCCTGCACCATCTCCATCCCGGGCTTGGTTAGCAGAGGACCTGGTACCCATTCTGGCCCGTACAGAGGAGGAACCTGGGGACCGGGGCCACCTCTGCCAACCTCTGGGACTTCTTGAGAACCCTGCCTTCTCTGAGCCGCAGGATTGAACCTGGTGCCCCCTCCCGGGCTGCTTTCTGGGCACAGGGCAGCACATGGTCCTTGATGGAGCTCTTCCTACAGCTTGACAGAGGTCCCTCCAGACCAGTCTGCCAGCTTTCACGTGCCCAAGAAACGGGCTGAACTGCATTCCGGACCCCCTGGTACAAGGACAAAGGTGTCAGAGGGAGGCTGTGGCACTGAATCTGACTCTCCAGCCCCAGTCACCTCAAGAGGGAAGGTAAGCGGGTGGGAGGAAATGCCAAGACCCAACCCCTACTGTCTCATCCGGTCCCTATCCTCCCTGGTTCCCTTCTGTATCCCAGTGTTACAGAGGAGAAAATGGAGTCTTGGGGAGTCACTGGCCAAGGTCACCTCTGGGGCACCTCCTGGCCCTGGGTCCTACTATGCCTGGAGGGCCTCCCAAGGGGGAGGGATGGGAGAGACTCCCTCATGTCCTCCTTCCTACAGATGGGCCGGCCAGAGCCCCCAGGGGAGAAGGTCTCTGATGCCCAGCTGTCTGGCGTCCCTGCTGCCCTCCACCATGCCCTTGGCAATGCCATCCCTGGTCCTGAGGACTCGGACTTGGTGCCCTCTGTGACCCTGGCTGCGGCCCTGGTCCTGCTGTTCCTCCTGCTCTTGGCCTGGCTGGTGTGGGATGGGCTCCTCCGAGCCTCCTGCTAACATGGCTTCCCAGGCAGAGGATGGGGTGTCCCTTGGCTGGGTGGGCATGAGTCAGGAGTGGCCTAATGGGAGCAGACCCAGGGACAGGGGTTGGCAGGTGGACGGCTGGAAGGCAAGAGGATGGGGAGGCAGTTGGGCCTCCCAGCCACACCCTGGGCCAAACCCTGTGGCCTTTGTCTATGGCAGCCCCCAGGGGACCCCAGGACGTTCCCAGGGCCTTCCCGCTGGAGGGCAGGAACCCTGATGAGCCCTGGACTCTGCTGTCCAGCGCTGCCGAGCCTCACGCTTCCCGACGGCCGCGGAGAGTGGGCTCGGAGCCTCGGGCAGCTGCAAATGCTCAGGCAAGCGGAGCTCAAATCCCCCTCAGGCAGGTTTGCCGCGCTGTGGGGGTCCTCATGGTTGCACGACCACCCTGGGTGCTGCGAAGAAAGCCAGGTGACCCCTGGGCATCTGTGGGTTGAATCCGAGTGAGTCGGGAAATGAGAGTTCCAGCCCAGGCTCTGTCCCCGAGGGGTGGGACAGTATTCCATGCCCTTCTCTGTTCTGGGCCTCAGCTTCCTCAGGCATCGTACCTATTTCTGTGCATTGTTGTGAGGCTGACCACGGCGTGGGCAGTCTGTGGTCACCTCTGCCGCAGACACTGTCCCTTTCGCCTGCGCCGCTTCCTCCACTGGGGACCTTGGGGGAAGCCCCACTCCCGGAGCGAGGCCCGTTGGAGCGAGGCCCGTTGGAGCGGGGATGCACTGGTCTTGACCGCCACCTGGTGGCTGAAGTAAGAACAGCATCCTCTGCCCTGGGATCCCCTTGGGCTCTTCCGAGCGAGGAGGAAAAGGTGTCGTGTTTTTTAAAGTGGAAACATTTGAGATGGTAGATAAGCCCAAGTCTTATTACTTAAAAATTCTTTTACCATGTGCTGTTTCTCTCTGTTCCCTTCATTTCTGCACGACAATTTTACCAAAAAAAGAGGCATCAGGAAGGGGGTGGAGTGGGGAGGTGGGGTGGAGGGGGGGTTGGTGACAGTGAAGCCCAGGGTCAAGCCCAGGGTCGTGGGCGTCCTCCTGCCCCACAGGGGCTCTGTCCCGGGTCTGACAAAGGAAGACACGCATTTCTGAGGATGGGACGTTCGGGTCGGGACCAGGGGTCCTCAAAGAACAAAGCTTACGGAGACACCATGTGCCAGATACGGGGGTGGGCAAGTGGGGCCCCCAGAGCGTGCAGGGTGGCTCTGTGCTCTCCTCCTCTTCCTGTCGCCAGGCTGTCCCTCCCTTGGGGAAGGGAAGGCCTCTGGGGTGCGCCCCAGCCACGCCCCATACAGGAGGAAGGAAGGATGGAAGGAAGGAAAGGGGGTCTCTTTCTCCTGCTCCCCCAGCATCCTGAAGTCAAAGTGCTCACGTGTGTGTCCAGGCTGTGGTGCTGGGGAGCTGCAGACTCTGTCCCCCGCCCCTCCTCCTCACCCCTCCTCCCCACTCCTCCTCCCCACCTCCCTCCTCCGACTCCTCCTCCCACCCTCTCAGAGGCTGCAGAACCAGAGTGAAATCCTTGGCTCCTTCCCTCCAAGTGTGAGATCATGGCCACAGATGTCAGGCAGTCCCCTCCCCACTCCACCCCCCCCAGAGGTGGCTTCCAGTCCCTGGGTGCCCGGAAGGTTTAGTGATTGGGGAAGCATCCTCTGGGGAGCAGGGCTGAGAGAGAAGGCCCTCGGGGGGCCTTGCCCACTGGCCCAGGGTGG